CTAACCCCCTCAGCCACATGGGCTTCATGACAAAAAGATGACCTCAGGTCCTTAGGTTTTGAAGCTATGACCATATTAAGGATATGAAAACATTTTTTTCAAAAAATTTTATACAATATTTTCACATTTAACAAAGCCCTTGATAAATATATTTCCTTGAAATTTTGACCTATATTTCAAATTTACTTCAATGGATAAACAAGCATAGAGTAAGATTAATATTTCTCTGGCATTGTTACAGAATACACAGAGTATCATATTCTCTCATTTGAGAACAGAAAGGACAAGGCCATCATTTAAGAAACCTTCCCAATATTGTATATTGGTAAATAGAACTAGGTATTTTGTGAATACGTTATCCTGCAAAAACATTCTATGGTTTCAATTCTCTGAATATATATCTTATATCTGGCTCATACGTGGAATATTCCTGGGAATGGTATGACTTTGTATAACAAAGTCATGTGATATGTAGTACACAGCATTGAACTATTTTCACTTTTTATCAATAACTGAAAAAGATAGTAAATTTTACCATGTTTTACAATAAGACCAGGTTACAAGCCAACCAGGTTACAATTGGACCAGGTTACAATTGGACCAACTTACAATTAGACCAAGTTACAATCAGACCAAGTTACAATCAGACCAAATTACAATCAGACCAGGTTACAATCAGACCAGGTTACAATCAGACCAAGTTACAATCAGACCAAGTTACAACAAGACCAAGTTACAACAAGACCAAATTACAATCAGACCAGGTTACAATCAGACCAAGTTACAATCAGATCAGGTTACAATCAAACCAGGTTACAATTGGACCAGGTTACAATTGGACCAACTTACAATTAGACCAGGTTATAATCAGACCAGGTTACAATCAGACCAAGTTACAATCAGACCAGGTTGCAATCAGACCAGGTTACAATCAGACCAGGTTACAATCAGACCAAGTTACAATCAGACCAGGTTGCAATCAGACCTCAGGTACCATATTCTAGTTTACAAGAAATTTTTCCACGACATTAAATCTTTTCTTTGTCGCAACAATATAAGAAGATAATTTGATTCACCAGGAAACAATATTTTATTCATTATTTATTCCCCCAAGGAAGATTGTTCCAGATTTTTCCATCTCATTAGGTTTATATCTTAAGATCTTGTATTGTATAATGACAAGCTATATAAAACCTCAGTAATTGTAAATATATGAGAATAAAATGGATTCTGAATATATAATCAATATTAAATGAATCAGTCTTAAGAATAATAGTATAAAACCAAGCATTTTTAACCATATTGTGCTATAATATTATCATCTGAATGTGCCCAAGAAGTAAACTTTTAGCACACAAACTAAACATTAAACAATTCATAATGAACAATTAGTTTTTTAGAACATTTAACAACAAATGAACAATATGTGTTTGGGAAACATGATTTTATGCTCCATTTATGGCAACAATTTAGTAATGTTACATGGATTTATATCCACTTACCTAAGTTAAGATCAGGGCTGTAAACATAGTAACTGTGTCCTTGATAAATATCAAGGTGACTGTGACTAACAGACCTGATTGTGATAAGGTTAAACAAGAGCTTTCAGTGATCACATGTGTCACCTGATGATAGCAAATTGAACGTTGAAGCAACTGAACAGCAAGAGACACAAATAACAACTGGCCAAAATTCTTTTTTTTATTCAAGGGCCATAACTCAGCCAAAAATCATTCAACCTGAAAACCTGTTAAATATGTGCAAAAACTTGAGGTTTCAATCAATCCTGAAAAACTCAAAAGAAGTAATATTAGAGAACTAATTTGGACAGATGGACAGACACAAAGAAGTGATCCCTATAAGTTGTGGCTACTTTGTAGCCGGTATCAGCTTATGTGTAGCTGGCAACACAAACAAGAGGGCCATGATGGCCCTGAGGTCGCTCACCTGTATATAGGCCCCCGGAGCGGGGCCAGTTTAAACCCCAGGGCTTTTATTTGAGCAAACTTGGAAGACACCCATTAGAAGATGTTTCATGATGTTAAGTTTTTACTACACACATATAATGAAAAACAATGACCTCCCCCCCCCCCCCTTTGGCAGGGCCAATTTAAACCCAAGGGCTTTTATTTGGACAAACTTGGTAGACACCAACAAAAAGATGTTTCCTGCTTAAAATCTAACCTCTAGCTCATTGGGTTTTTTAAAAGAAGATTTTTTTAAGTTTTTACTATACACATATAGTTAAAAACAATGACACCTCTGGGGCGGGGCCAGTTTTAACCCCAGGGCTTTTATTTGAACAAACTTTGTAGACACTTACTAGAAGATGTTTCATTCTTAATATCTAAACTCTAGCTATTTGGGTTTTTTCAAAGAAGATTTTTAAGTTTTTGCCATACACATATAAGGAAAATCAATGACCCCCGGGGCAGGGCCAATTTTGACCCCAGGGCTTTTATTTGAACAAACTTTGTAGACACCCATTAGAACATGTTTCATGCTAAATATCTTAGCTCTAGCTCTTTGGGTTCTTTAAAAGAAGATTTTTAAAGTTTTTACTATATGCATATAGGGAAAATCAATGACCCCCTGGGGCGGGGCCAATTTTGACCCCAGGGCTTTTATTTGAACAAACTTGGTAGACACTCACTAGAAGATGTTTCATGCTTAATATCTAAACTCTAGCTATTTGCGTTTTTTCAAAGAAGATTTTTTAAGTTTTTGCTATACACATATAAGGAAAATCAATGACCCCCGGGGCGGGGCCAATTTTGACCCCAGGGCTTTTATTTGACCAAACTTGGTAGACACCCATTAGAACATGTCTCATGCTAAATATCTTAGCTCTAGCTCTATGGGTTCTTTAAAAAAAGATTTTTTAAGTTTTTACTATATGCATATAGGGAAAATCAATGACCCCCTGGGGCGGGGCCAATTTTGACCCCAGGGCTTTTATTTGAACAAACTTGGTAGACACTCACTAGAAGATGTTTCATGCCAAATATCTAAGCTCTAGCTCTTTGGGTTTTTTAAAAGAAGATATTCTTTTGGTTGCCATGGCAACCAGAGTTCTGCATGGAATTAAATTCTTTGAACAATTTTTAAAGGTGACCACCAAAGGAACATTCCTGTGAAGTTTGGATGAAATTGGCTTAGTGGTTTATGAGGAGATGTCATTTAAAGTAAAAGTTTACGGACGACGGACGGACGGACGCCGGACGGACGCCGGACGAAAAGCGATCACAAAAGCTCACCCTGTCACTTTGTGACAGGTGAGCTAAAAACCATGAACAGGCCAAATTACTAACAGACAAAGGAGAATTTATCCCTATAATTATGCCACCATTACTCTGTAGCAGCTGTAACAAATACTTAGAGCTATGCAGTCTCTCGAGCTTTCAACACTGTGTACAAATTACTAAAACATAGTTTTCCCTAATGCCCTTTAAAGCTCTGTATACTTGTAATTATTTTAGAGATAAAATTAAATTAAAACACATCTGACTGCATCTTTCTCATGAACCGAAAATTTATCAGAGATTAATATATCGTGTGCACTGACTGTATAAGGTTAAAAAATTCAAACAATACAAAGCAATTTATATATTATAATATATTAATAAAGCAGTAAAAATGTTAAAGTGTAAGATACTCGTATCAATTTTATTTTAAAACAATAGCTCCATGAAGCTATAACTATGAAAGTTTATTTGTATCGAGGAGATTAGTTTGAAAAACTCCACATTTGCCAAGTTCCTGATAAAATCAATTTATAAATAATGAAATTCAAATACATATCATGACTTAAATTGGCATTGTGATTCATGATATCGTGACATACAATAATTAAATCAAAAGGAAGGATTTTCATTATTTTAACAGCAAATGAATTGCCTACATCACCAGTATTGATTCAAACCAGTCTGCACAAAGTGATATTTTTCCATAAATTTGTTGCTGAATACAGTCATATACCATCTTGTACCAACTTTGTACCATCACTAATCTGATAAAAGTTAAGAACTTCAGTTCCTCATCCAACAGGGTATGAAGCCTGTTATTTAGCCTTTTCCAAATTGACAAAAATGTTGAAAAATCCAAATTTAATGTTAAAGTTCCCAAATAATTGTGACTCTCAACCCCCCCCTCCCCCCCATCGCTACCAGTTTAACATTTAAACCTGCAACTTGACTATTTAAGCCACTAGATGGCGCTGGGGCAGATTTTCATGGTATTTTTGACATGCTTCACATCTAACAGCCCTTTTTTGAAATAGTAAAATAACCAAGAAGTATTTTGCCTAAAAACTTTTTGTATAACTTCTTTGCAACATTTGAAATAAAATGGCAGAGAAAATATCACAAAAGATTCACTTAAATGTACTTTGTGAAAAAAAAATCAGTTAACTGTCAAAAATTTGAAAATCCCGGGGCGGAGTAAATGGGGTCATGAACTGCAGGTTGTAAACAAATACACGTGGCAGTGTTAACTTTCCAGTAGAAACTTGAAATATTACTCTAGGAAGGGAGCTGCTGATCAGTAATCGTCTGCTATAGTGTTTGTTTACATCAGCTAAATTTAGCACAGGTACAGCGTCCCTTGCATGATTTATCTGATAAACACGCCTACAAAATTCTCCCTACCAGGGCAGGGATTTTTGCGGCTTTAAGACATTATAATGATGAACGATATTTATATAATTTAGTGTTCAACCTTTAAATCATTAAGGGTATACAGCTATATCTAATGAAACATTTCATAAAATTCTGAAAATGACAAAAATTATGTCATTTCCATAATTTTATGGTCAATTTCGAGAGACTTGTAATATAGAATGTTTCTGTTATTAAACACACATGAATATTTTACACAAATTGAATAAAATTGTTCCCAAACAAAATATAGAGAACTGCTATTCTAAATAGGGTTTTAATCGTTTAGTAATGATTTAAATCGTTTGCATCATTTTATGTTTAGGAAATATGGCAACATAAAGGCAGGAGAAGAAATAATCTATTCCTACATAGTTCATATAACACATCAAGTATTGCACAGTCCTGCAGCATTATATTTATACATGTATTATATTATACAAATCCTCTCAAGTCATTATAAGATTTGCTTTTTCTCTTGCCTGGCTTCAGCAGCAACCGTCAATCCATGGTTTAATTCTGCATATTCTACACTGAAAGACATTAACAAAAAATATTTCCATTAAATCTCATGACATTCTGAATCTACTGTATAAGTGGTAAAGTTAGTGATACAGAAATATTATTTTGTAAAATTTGTGAATTGAAAATCGCTAAAATTTCCTCTAGCGTAAACATCAACGAAACTGTCATTAAATTCTACCCTTGCACGGTGCACTAATATTTCCTCACATGAAATATTCGCTAATATTTCCTCACATGAAATGTCTGGAATTTTACAGTGGCTAACTTTTCGACACCCAGAAATATCCACTTATATAGTATATTTTCTACGAGCAAAGAAATTCTAGATCTGACAATCATTATTAACATCTTTTGTAATACAATATAATTCAAATAACACATCCAACAATGCCTTAATTTCATGCGAAAAATATCTTTCCAAATTTAGTTGTTGTTGTTGGGTCTGATGGTTATATGGCGACTTTCGACCTCCACTGGTTAAGAAAGGCCTCATATTCCCCTACGTGCACTACTTCTGGAACTTGCTTGCACTGAATTAGAACTATTCCCCAAGCATAACAAGAACCGGTTGAACCGGGTGATGCTCCCCGAATAGGTTTTTGACACAGAAAAGTATACCTCTTGTAGTTTCATAGTTAGGTCCCTGACACAGCAAAGTGCAATAATTCCAAACTTAAGCAAGACAGAGTAACTGTTCTTTGCACTGCTTATCTACCCAATGATATCTATCTACCTACAAAGTTTCTTGTTCATATCTCTTAAAGTGTCAAAGTTGCAAAGTTCAAAATGTAAATATGTACAAAGGGCAATAACTCCAAAATTGGGCAAGGCTGAGTGTAACAGTTCTTGTCGCAGCACATCTACCCAATGAGATCTATCTACCTACAAAGTGTCTTGTTCATATCTATCATACTTTCAGAGTTGTGTCCTGTACAAAGTTCAAAGTGTAAAAATAAACAAAGGGCAATAATTCAAAAATAAGGCAAGGCAGAGTTATGGTTCTTTTGCACTGCACTTGTACCCAATGAAATCTATCTATCTACAAAGTTTCATGTTGATATCTCTTATAGTTTCAGAGTTATGGTCCAAACAATGCTCAAAGTGTAAAAATCAACAAAGGGCAATAACTCTATAATTAGGTAAGGCAGAGTTATTGTTCTTTTGCACTGCACTTCTACTCAATGAGATCTATCTTCCTACAAAGTTTCATGTTGATATTTTTTATAGTTTTAGAGCTCAGTCCCGGACAAAGTCAAAGTGTAAAAATGAACGAGGGGAATAACTTCAAAATAGGGCAAGGCAGAGTTACAGTTCTTGTGCACTGCACATCTACCCAGAAGATCTATCTACCGACAAAGTTTCATGTTGATATCTCTTGTTGTTATGTCCCAGACAAGAAAAGTGGAAGGACGGACGGACCGACAAAGCGGCGACTATATGCTCACCCTTGGGGAGCATAAAGATGTACTGCAAAGTTATGGGTCCTGATAGTCACAGAGAACAAGTGTGTGAAGTTACAACCTATTCCCTTTAGTAGTTTCGGAGATACCAAAACTAATCCAAAGTATGACAGAGGCACTAACACTGATGTCCAATGAGTACAAAAGCTCTCCCTATTCTTCAAATAGTCATGCTAAAAACATGTAGTAAGAATCCTTTATCAATATTTTTCTCCGTGACAAATTTCATGAAAGTTACACAAAATAATATATTAAGTTTATTTTTGTTAATTAGCAGATGTCATAATGTTTAAACAATGCAACTGTTATATAACACACATCTTGATGTAGGATATTAAAAACACACAGATATATCTATAAAGTTAATATAATGGCTTGCAAAAAAACTGGTGCAAAATAAACTACATTTTAAAAATAACTCTTACAAAAGACTCACATAAAAATTTGTGATACTTTATGTTTATTGTGTGCCTTTACAATGTTCAAAATACAAAACGCTACGAATAATACTGTCTCCTTGAACTAAATTAAAGGCTATAAATTCCAGAAATAAATTTTCATTAGATCATTAAAACAAGATGAATTGATTTCTCATTCATGGAACATCATACTGTGAGAAAATAGAGAAGAAATATTGTCACCAATATGCTAAAATGAGCGTCTGCATCTCTCCAAAACAAGATTTCAATTACCGTAAGGAAGACAAAGACAATCTTAAATGCTGCCAATGCAAAAATATACAAAGGTTTTTCACAAGGAACCCATCCTTATCCTAATTTCAAAATCGCGAATTTGTCGTGAATTTTGGACTCAAATATTCGCGTGCCTTTTTTTTCTTCAGATTCGCATTTTTTTTGTTATCGTAACTGAAAGAGAAATTCTGATACAGGTCTTGCTTTTAATCCTATATCATTAAGCTTACACAGCATATCTTTTTTAAAATAAACAGCATAATCGAAACAGGTTACACAGCATATCTTTTTTTTAAAATAAACAGCATAATCGAAACAGCTTACACAGCATATCTTTTTTAAAATAAACAGCTTAATCGAAACAGCTTACACAGCATATCTTTTTTAAAATAAACAGCTTAATCGAAACAGCTTACACAGCATATCTTTTTTAAAATAAACAGCGTAATCGAAACAGCTTACACAGCATATCTTTTTTAAAATAAACAGCGTAATCGAAACAGGTTACACAGCATATCTTTTTTAAAATAAACAGCGTAATCGAAACAGGTTATGTATCGAAAATAAAGATTTACAGTAAAGCTAGCAACAAGAAGTTTCGCTATCAAGAAAATTACTGAAAAATGGAAAAATCCTAATGTTATTAATTTTGTACCGTTAGTTAAAACATTTTGAATATAACTATTTAATTGATCAGGCATTTACTGGTGTATTGCAAACCGATTTGCGTATTGCTCCTCTGTATAGTGAATGGTATCGTATCACCTACCCTGACAAAACACAGCCCTAATGTGGTATCTACCTTAAGCCAGTGTTTACCGGGTATCTCTCAACAAATTGGTATGACTTTCTGGAAGCTAAAGCAATGTTTTCCTTTTCAAAGATTGATTTATAATTAAGTAGTGCAATCTACATAATTACTTTAGTACTCTTTTGATGTAAGATACCATGGCCATTGCATGCAAAATGATAAACATGTAATACATGTATGTTCTAAATGCTCAATAAACAAATGAATTCAAATGATTTTTTTTATTCTTACCCAGAGCCTGTGTTTAATTCCCCTGCTGAAGGAAACCTGGGAGGTGTACTATACTGAGGTGGTATGTCAGATTGTCTATCTCTATTGTGACGCTGGTGACGATCTCTATCTCTATAAAAACAATAATAATATTGATAAAATTGATTGATAAAGTTAAATAGTTCTCAATGGACGAAAAGTAGAAAAAAATATCTTTAGCCTGATAAAATTATGTTCTGTGAAAAAGTGAAAATCCTTTATTTACCTCTTCTTGTTTAGTTTTATATAGGAAAAAAGAGCACTTTTAAATAATACTGAAAACTATCTTCTGTGCTTTTGGAAATGTATAATTTAAGTGACCTTGGCCTTATGGACTTGACACCTAAGAAAATATCAAATATAAAATCAGATATCAGTTCAACAAGACCTGTTGTTGTGAACAGACAATGAGGCACACAATGTCATGTATGTATAATTATTTCAAAATCTAACAATGAATATCAAAGTCATGGACTCATGGAAAATACTATCAATTCTCAATACAGACAATTGTTACAATGTCATCATGTCCAAAACATTCAGTATTTTAAAATCCATCCAAGAATGACTATTTTGTTGATCAGAATCACTATTTTCAAGAGAGGTCTATGCCCTGATTTGATTCTTGAAGCCGCAATGTCATCATCATGTCTAGCACATTTATACCAAGTTATTTTTGTAGCTGCCTTCAGCTTTTTTTTTTTGTTAGAAAAACAATTCTGTGCTACTTTAACCCTTTACCGCATGAGCATATTGTGAACAAGGGTGCCATAGTCACAAAATACGCCCGTTTACGAAAGCTTTAGATGGAGATGGGGGCATTATGGATAAGTGTTATCTAGCAAGCAAGTTTTTATTCTTGGCACTGTGTTGTTAAATGAACCTTAAAACAAATCAGTAGGGAAGATATGCACAGGATATGCGACCTTGACCTTGGTCGCAGGGACCTGAATTTTATGCACGGCCCTCAGCCTTATAATGATGAACATTTGTGCCAAATTATATTGAAATCCCTCTATGCATGTAGAAGTTTTGCTCCAGACAAGCGTATTTCTATCAGCTCTAACTGTGACCTTCACCTTTGACCTAGAGACTTGGTTCATGTGCAGGGTACTACGTCTCATGGTGGTGAACAATTCTATAAAGTAACATAAAAATCCTCCATGCATGTAGAAAATATGCTCCGGACAACATCTCGATATTTAATCATCTCCAGTGACCTTGACCTTGCAAATATTAACCTAAATTAAATGTGTCACACCTGTAGTCATGATAGTTACCATTTGTGCTACAATCCATCAATAAATGATGACTAAATGGTCCCTATACACATCTTCAAATTTTTATCTGAACTTTGACCTCTATGTGTAACCTTGACTTTGGTCGCAAGGATCTGAATTTTGCGTGCGACACTCAGCCTCACAATGGTGAACATTTGTGCCAAGTTATATTGAAATCCCCCTATGAATGTAGAAGTTTTGCTCCGGACAAGCGTTTTTCAATGAGCTCTAAGTGTGACCTTGACCTTTGACCTGGATCATGCATGGAGCAATACATATCATGGTGGTGAACATTTCCATAAAGTATTATAAAAATTCTTCCATACATGTAGGAGATATGCTCCAGACAAAATCTGGATATTTCACCATCTTTAGTGACCTTGACCTTGCATATATTGACCTAAAGTACATGTGTCACAGCCGTAGTCATGATAATGACCATTTGTGTTACAATCCCTCAATAAATGATTAAATCGTCCCTATACACATCTTCATATTTTTATCTAAACTTTGACCTCTATGTGTGACCTTGACTGCAGGGACCTGAATTTTGTGCGCGACACTCCGCCTCACAATGGTGAACATTTGTGCCAAGTTATATTGAAATCCCTCTATGCATGTGGAAGTTTTGCTCCGGACAAGCATTTTTCAATGAGCTCTAAGTGTCACCTTGACCTTTGACCTAGAGACCTAGTTCATGTGCGTGACATGGCTTCTCATAATGGTGAACATTTCTATGAAATTTCATTAAAATCCCTTCATGCGTGTGGGAGATATGCTCCGGACAAAATCTGGATATTTCATCATCTTTAGTGACCTTGACCTTGCATATATTGACCTAAATTATATGTATCACAGCCATAGTCTTGATAATGACCATTTACGTTACAATCCCTCAATAAATGATGACTAAATGGTCCATATACACATCTTCATATTTTTATCTGAACTTTGACCTCTATGTGTGACCTTGACCTTGGCCGCAAGGACCTGAATCTTGCGCGCGACACTCCGCCTCACAATGGTGAACATTTGTGCCAAGTAATATTGAAATCCCTCAATACATGTGGAAGTTTTGCTCCGGACAAGCATTTTTCAATGAGCTCTAAGTGTGACCTTGACCTTTGACCTAGAGACCTGGTTCATGTGCGCGACACTGCTCCTTATAGTGGTGAACATTTCTATGAAGTTTCATTAAAATCCCTACATACATGTAGGAGATATGCTCCGGACAAAATTGGACGCCGCCCGCCCGCCCGCCAGGGGCGTTCCCATAATACGTCCCGTTTTTCAAACGGGCGTATAAAAAGGCCGTTTTCATTGAAAAGCCTCCTGTTACAAGTTCAAACTGCTATGAAACTATGAAAAATTCTTCAGTACTGATGAAACTTGGCACAAATGTTGACTTGACCATAACCTCTGTAACAGCATGCTTAATCTTTAATTTCCTGTTACCATTGCAATGGGGGACGTCTCAAAATTGCCAAAAAAACACTATTTTGCATTGTTTTTTTTCCATCAAAACTGATTTCAAAGTGCTACAACATATCAATGGAGTAAAAGGTTTTTCAGCCTTGGTTACACGTTACCTTATGATTGACCCGAGGCCATTTTTAACCCTGTCACATGTCCAAAATTTTCTTGGCAATGAGAGGGGTTACTGCCCCCCCCTCAAAGCCCCAAAAGGGGCACATCCCTCTTCTCACAACCCCTTGATGTACCTTTATGATAGTGGGCGCCGCCGAAGGTAGCTCTGTTGTTTACCAGGTGTGTGACCTTAAGCTTAGATCTGATTCAAACAATTTCCTTACTGTTTGTTTGTTTTGGGTTTTACGTCACATTGACACGGTATAGCTTATTTCGCGACGTTCCAGCTTTACTCGTGGAGGAAGACCTCATATGCCCTTCCGTGCATTATTTCAGGCACGAACGGCCACCTGAGTAGAACCACCGACGTACTGTATGCTAGCTGGATAGCTTCCTCACATGAAAAGATCCAAAGTCCCTGTCAGGATTCGAACCCACAGCGGTGAGGGGCAAGTGGTTTGAAGTCAACGACATTAACCACTCGGCCACGGACGCCCCTTCCTTACTGTTACATACCTCTGCAATGTTCCAGGTGCACTTGCAGTTCCCCTACCCCCTCGCCTATATCGTTGGTCTCTATCCAGATTTAACGAGGCTGTGCGAGCTTCTCTGTTTGCTCTGCTAGACAACAGTGGTGTGTCCCTATTGTGTGATAACTGGCGCAAACTCAAAGATGCTCGACGAATTGAATTATAACCAATCAACTGTGTCCTAAATAAAAACAACACAAAATCTCTCATTTGCATTAATTAACACATTTTTATATAATAAACTGATCATATAAGTAATTATAATATAATTTCATTACAATAGCATACAATTTGGCTTTTTTCTTAACCTGCCTATTTTGTATAATGGCTTTACCCTGGTTTGAATCTGGAACAGTGATTAGCTTTTGTCACCAGTATACAAATGTAGAGCAAAATCAGGCTGCACATCTACACAGTCTAGTTCTTTGCAGTTGACTCAGTAAGTTTTTTCATCTTAATATATCTAAATTTGAAAATGGACACAAATTTCAAAAAATTGAATTTAAGAAATTCAGTTATACAGGATTTAAGTTCTCGGTTTTGGAACAGTGTGAACCTACAACTATGATCCTGGTTCTTGATTTTTAAGCTGCTCTTCTGATCATGTCTTAATATCCAAATAATTACCTTCAAATTCTAATGAGATACAATGTTCTAAGCTAATATCAGGAATAAGCCTTTGTTAAAAATTAAGTAAAAACCACAGATAGTAGATTTATAGCTTTATACATTTTAATACATTTTTTTGGTCATTCATTATCTCAATTTAATAAAGCAACCTTAAAAATTGGACATACCCCACAATTCCTTAAATGGTGAAAAAGCATCAATAAAAACCTGAGGTATCATGAATTATAGCCTATAATATAAGTTTATACATATTCATAATTGTAACTGATATGGGAAAGCCTCAGGTGCTTTGAGTATTGATTTATTTTCAAGCCATGGCAAGCACCTTCATATATCTAGATACAGAATATTGACCTAATAAACATCATAACAGTTTATAGGTGACTTTGATAAACCACTTTTCAGAAAGGTCAGAATGTCAGACACAAAAACATCAATTTCATTCTTTTTTTTTGCTTTTATACTACTAATAACGAAGAACATCTGTGGTCCTCTACTCGGAACCACTTTCAAAAGCCACCAATATAACATACTAACCAGTGCTATAAAATAAATATTGTTAGTTGACAGTTTTGGTATCACTGCCCACCTGATTAATTACGAATTTACATACGCACATGGTCTTCACATTGAGTTATGGATAATATGATGAATTTTTCAATCAATAGGAACTCCGCCACAAATTTCAATTCACAAGCCCAAATTGTAAAACCTAAAATGTCTTACTATCACAAATTTATAAATTGGTTAATTTTTACTGGCTCGAAATACAATTTACCAGTGATTTAATGACCAGCTTGTGTGAATTTCAATGACTTAAGATATCAGACATATTTATCTCAACATCGCTCAAATAATTGCTTCAAAAAATCTAGAAACTGTTCTTAAACAGCTAGACTGTCATGAATTAGTTGCTGTTTCAAATCAAAGTCACAGACACTTGGGGTATGGAGCTCAAAACGCTTTTAAAATCCAAATAAAATGTATACATCTATTTGTTAATCCCAGCACATGTACTGATCAAATACATAAAAAACTTTTAACATAAGTCGTTTTGCCCTTTGGCGACCCCTTTATTATCTTTTTGAAATGGGATGGCGCCGAAAAAGTGACAACATTTCTCAAACAAAAACAAGTGTTTGTGGTCTAAATAGAGCATTTTTTCACCATTTGAGGCCTCAAAAAAGGGTGTGTGTGAAAAGTTGTGAAAAGACGTCTTTAAGCATCCACAGGCAGTTATTTCCGCCGTAGAAAACATTTACCTCTGTCACGAGGGAACATAAATTTTTCACTGTAAAGAGTCATTTAAAACTTGATGTGAAATATATATTCATGTAAGACAAAAAACATTTTATATTATTAGTTATAAAGATTTTTGACAAGTTTCATGGCCCTATATAAAAAGTTGTTTGCCTATACATGTATATCCATAGCTCCTAGGCAGAGGTTAAATTGCAAATATAACTTTTTATATACGGCCATATAACCTGCAAAGAATCTTTATATTCAGCAAACTTCCTTTAAAAAATTGGAATTTCTTGATAAATTGACAGATACATTTATATCTATATAAAAAGTCACGATTATCCAATGAAAAGCTACATTAAAAACGTGCAGTAAAGTATTATAAGATATGAATGGTACTCACTCATCAGTCAAGCTGTCTGGCTTTTTCCTGCAAAATTTATATAATGTCATAATTGTAAAAATTCACTACATTATTTTCCACCTACAAGTTTTTGGCTTCAATAAACATGTTTATTTTATAATTGGAAAAAATCAAAATGGTTATTTAGCATGCTAAAACCTTAATAACTTTTACCAAGGTATTTTCTAAATTCACAAAGGTGGATTATTCAATACAAATCTTTCACTAGAGTTATTACTCTTTGAAAATGACCAAACATTATGGTCCTAAAGATGCGTGTATAGGTAGAACTTGCATGTAAAACTTAAAACAGAAATTTTCTTAGTTCACAAAAGGGTATAATTAAATCAAAATTGCTACTTAAATTAAAGGTCCCAGAAAGAGAATTATTGTTATTTGCCAGATAACATGTGTTAAATGCACATTATTATGCCTCAGAAATCCATTTTTTTTAAATTTTTTACAAATGTCAAACATGCATGCTTTTAAATGTTTTGATAATGGATTAAGAGCTTATTAAATGTTTAGCAAATGAAGAAAGTAGCACTGACTTCCATACAAAATACTAATTCACATAAATCTATCAATTGCAAACAAAGCAAAAGAAGCAAATGATGGACTTTCACCTATATGGCAAACGATTATCGTAAATATGCGGCCATAAGTCGATTTCATCCATAAGTCAAGGGGTATATAATGACATAAAAAAGTTGGTATTTTGCCTTAACTCTTCTGTAAGTCTAGCTATATAAGTCAAGGATAATTTTTCTCCACATCTCCTTAAAGATTTTTAGGGCTTTTCTTGTTGCTGTAAAGGGCATTTTTATGCAGGAAAATTTACCTTTAAACTATAACAAGATATCAAAGATAAAAGTTTTTGAAAAAAAAATCAATTGTATAATTTATTATGTAAGGCAAAAATGGGCCTTTAAGCATTGAGCCCTGAGTCAAGTTTCCTTACCTCTTACAAGCAGAACAACACATCAGTACGCTAGTTATGAAGACTATAATAAATAGCAATGCCCCTGGGATAACTACAATGTAGACAAACTCCCAAAACATGTCCCTACATCTTCCATCCCCACAATCATACTCTGATATACTCTCTATCTCCATTCTTCTTCAGTGTCTACTCTGAAAAAAACCAGGGCTGAAAAACACCAATGAATTTACCTCTGAAAAAACAGCAATAAATATATAGCTGAAAAGCACCAATAAGTTGCCCCAGGGCTGAAAAACACCAGTAAATGTACCTCTGAAAAAACAGCAATAAATTTATTGCTGAAAAACACCAATAAAACACCAAAATATTTACCTCTGAAAAACACCAATAAATTTATTGCTGAAACACACTAATAAGTATTTTAAAGGGAATTGTCCACCATAATTCCATTCTGGACATGACAATTTATATATATATAGATCTATATCATTTTTCAAGAAAATTTCAAAATATGCATTGACGAATAGCAAACAGCACAGAGATAATGATTAGAGGTCCAGAATGGTCACACTTGTATAATCTGTTGCAACAAGTAGGCTAAAGGTTTAAAACCAACACTAATATATTTATTTTCCAGTAATAATTATATTAGTAATAGAAAGAGCACCGAAACACGAGGCTATCTGATTTGTACAAGGGGGAGACTAGCCCCCGAGTATTAATCAGATTGCCGAGTGTTTTGGTGTTCTTTCTCTTTTGTATCATAGTCAAACATAAAAGCACGTTCCCTGTTGTCACAATATGAAACCCCGGCAAAAATGAACCAATGAACGAACATCTGAATATGACATTTCTGTCGCTTTCCCTTTCTCTGCCGTCACAATATGTAAACCCCAGCAAAAATGAGCCAATCAATGGGCATGCTCTGGAGTGCGGGTAACTAATACCCGCACTCCAGTTAACGCACTGTGCATGTATATGTATACGATTTAACCCTGACACATTTTCAACAGAAAAGTCTCCATACTATGATACAAGGTTATTATACATTGCCTAGTTCAATACTGAATTCTATTGGACGAGTAAACAGTTGTCAAATCAATATTGGATGAGGTGTTAGCAGAGCCTGATATACTATTACATTTTCTTACTTTTTTTTCTCGTTTTTACGTAGAATTTGTTACTTGAAATATAAGGAATAATCAATTGATGAAAAAAAATTTGACCTTGAAAATGGAAATGAAGTAAGATGAAGTATGATACGAGTTTGATATAAATTTTTTGGACTCTGAAAATGAAAACAAGGCTATATGAGGTTCAATATGCATTTGATCTAGATATTTTTTTTACTATTTTACTATAAAAATGAAAATGAGGTTATGATGGGGTGTGATAATGCATTAAATATGGATTTTCTGTAATCTGGAAATGGAAATGAGGCTAATTTAATTGATAAGACTGGATCTGATAATGATTTCTAATTTGGAACATCACATGGTTCACTGCTGAAAGTTCTTTGGTCGTATTTTATAAGGTGTGAAATAAGGATATTTACAACACTATCAAAGTATCATATTTTGTTACATTTGTTACAAACATGTACATTCTTTACAAATACTGTAAGTATATGTAATATAGGCATATTCCAAGTCAGTATTATAAGAATCTATTCAAACCTTGCAGTTATTGGGCATAGGTGACATGGATATTTAGTAATTTACTGCAATTAAGATCTCAAATAAATGTGTGAATTTAAGAATTCAAGTGTCAAGTCAAGTCAAGTAAATTTTATTTATAAGTCTACTACACCTACACCAATGTTGGCACCAGAACAAGGGAGAGTTGAATATCCTACTTCATGTATCAATGTCTGAATTTTGTAGCAAAGGGAAGTAACTCAATGAGTGCATAGAACCAGGATCAGTGGTGTGAAGATGAAGTGTACAGCACCAGGGACGTCTTATCTGTAGGTTGAGTTTGAACCCCATCAGAAGTGAGATTCTCATGCCCATATTAAAATAAGACGTCACTAAGTTTGCAATCATTTGATTCAAACATTAATTCGAAATTAATAGAAATACAAACAAAACAGAAAATTAATATGAGTAAAAAAATGCTTTAAATGTCTGCTAACTTTAAATAGGTACAGTCAATTACAATCTGAATTTCCGACAATGCTACAATTCAATTAACTGAAAAACAGAAGATTTAGTGTACTGTGATCGGATAGAACTTCAGGTTAAACTTTATTTTACCTGAAGAACAGAAATCTTTGATACATCAATCAGAAAATCCTATCTGGCTATTATTATTGTATTGCATTTGTAAAAAGCATCGAAAAAAATAGAGATATACCTTTACTTGCTTGCCTAAAGTCGGAAATTTAAAGTTTCCAAAGTTTCCAGCTTCCCTGCTACAGACCGGAAGTTATTATCAAAGTGCGTTCAGTATCAATCAATTAACGGGGCACCTGCTTGTCTAAGAACAATATTTAAGTTAAAGATGTGTTATACCATAAAATTTAATGTTGTACACGTTAGAATGTATAATTATAATGTAATTTCTTGTCAATGATGTTCAGCTTTCCATGTTTTAAATTAATTTAAATTACAATAGCGTTTGAAAGACCCAGGGGTTAAGAGGTACTAAATGCTGTATTTCTTATGCATAATTACATGCAGCAGATTCACAAACCTCTGAAACAGAGTATAATTTTAAAGTATAATTTCAAAGATAAACTTGCATTTCGTGAATTTCATATGAGCAAAAGGTTAACATTATTGAAGTGATATTATGCTCATTTTTACACTGTCTAGTTGAATTAGTAATTTATTTCAAAAGATTGGCAATTATTATGGTGTCTGAGTGACCAATAATTGGTAATGCAGCTATATAAAAAACTTCTTTAATTATAAAAAGACTGTTCCACTCTATTTTTGCCCCACTCTATTTTTGCCCCAGAATTGAGCATAATTTTAACCTAGTCCTATAAATATGATGTTGCTTTAACTTAAGATATTGGCTTGCCCAACTTAGACTATCAAAAAAATTAACAAGCCGATCGATATGTCTAATATTTTGGATTAAATTTAACCAATACATTCTGAACTTTAAGATATTTAAAGAAATTTCTGTTGGTCACATGGTGACATGGATTATTGATTATTTTTTCAATGTAAAATATAAAATTTATCACAATTATGGCAAAAGTGTCAAGTTATTTTTTTAATTTTGACCTGTTCACTGACCATAATAAAATTACACTTGGATTGGCATAAAAATGTCACTTTAAAATACTGGGACCAAATTGTATCCATGATATGTTAAAATATACATTGGTTATAAATTGAGCCACAGTGTCCATAATGCAAGGTAATGCAAATAGTTACAGTAATCCAGAACTCGGCCAATATGGGTTTTTCCCAACGAATTGGGTTATCTCCCATTTCACACAAACTTTCACCATTATAACTTCATGGTGCTGACTGCAATTCACAATAGATTAGTCAAAATGTGGCCTTTATATTTTTTTTCAGTTTTAACTGTAAAAGTTTGTTTGTTATAATGTAACCCCCAGATTTGCTGGGAAAACCCAAAAAATTCTAGCTTAGCTCCAGAGTAAGTATATTGACTATGCATATTTTATCACGGATTAAAGCTGTGATTTTGTACAAAAGCATTTGTGGAGTATATAGCTGTGTGTTCTCAGAGAGGTTTTTTTTTGCATCAAAGCTTTAATTAGCAGTGATTATAATGCATGTAATTAGCCTGATGTCTATCATAAGCTGTACACAGATTGTTCCTATATCTGTAAAATGTTAAATTATATCTTGACAATATATATTTATAAAACAAAAAACACAGTCCATGAGTTAACTTACGGTATTTAATTATTTGCCAACCGGTTTCTCTTATGATCATTGCCCATCATTTGCCCTGATGACCATAAGAGAAACCGGTTGGCAAATAGTTAAATAAGTTAACTCGTGGACAGTGTTTTTTGTTTTATTTATATATGACTTTTTTCCGGCACTTATATATATATATATATATGTATATATATATATTGAACTTGACATTCATTTCAAATGTAACAGACCTTATGTTATTCTCAGACTGCTTATAGCAATGTTCATGTGCACTTATTGTACCTTGTTTTATACATTTAATATCTGACAATTTGAAATGTTGTATTTTTAGACTAGTGTAACATTTAAGTTTCACAAATATTCATGTTCTTTCTTTTTGTGAACAAAGTAATTTTTTTTCAATCATGCTCATGATATTCATCTGAAAATTGACTTGGATAACTTTTATATTTGTTTTGAATTTATTTCAAAATCAATTTATATCATTGGATTTAATCATGTTTTATTACAATTTTATTCTCATTGAAGGGAAATGTTATTGGATCATAAAATATCAGCCAGTGTCATTATGTATCATACATATTTTAGCCAATCTTTATGTGATCCTGGCCAGTAATATTCTCATACAGATTTAAGATTTTAAGTATAAGGCCTGTGGAATAATTTAACACACAATATCCAGTGGTCTTAGGCCTGAACACAGATGATAGCCTGTGGTCTTAGATCTGATGTATTCTCACAGATGACACATGTGGTCTTATATCTGAGTTATATTCTCACACAGATGACAGTCTGTGGTATTCTCACAGATGACAGCCTTTGGTCTTTAATCTGAGGTATATTCTCATACAGATGATAGGCTGTGGTCTTAGATCCTAGGTATTCTCAAAGATGTCAGCATGTGGTCTTAAATCTGAGGTGTATTCTAATATAGATGATAGCCTGTGGTCTTAGATCCTAGGTATTCTCACAGATGACAGCCTGTGGTCTTAGATCTGAGGTATTCTCACAGATTATAGTCTGTGGTCTTATAAAACTACAGTGAACAAAACATTAAAAAAATAGACAACTTGTTTTTTTTTAAATATTTTATTCCACAAATTAACTTTATGAAAAAATACCTTGGTCCCAATAATAAAATTTTGATCATATTTTTTTTGTAAAACAGCACATAACTGACAATCATTCATATTTCATAGAAGAAACTGTGATTTCATTCATGCATTTATGTTTGTTTAGGTTTCAAGTTACACTAACACTGTAAATGGCAACTTTCTGTGACGCTGGTCATTGGAGGAGGAAGATTTAAAGGTGCAACTCCATGCTGTATTTCAAGCAACACCCGAGTAGAACAGCCCACAGCAGTGATGTCAGCCGCCTAAGCACAAAGTCAGAGTTTGGTGAATTTTTAGACCAGCGTTATAATATTCACAAATATTCATGTTTTTATGTTAAGAAGATAATTTATTTTCAATCATGCTCATGACATTCATCTAAAAATTTGACTTAGATAAATTTATCCATTTCTTTTGAATTTCATTTCAAAATAAAATTAAAATCCATGGACTTAACCATGTTTTATTACAGGGAGTTAAAAGAATTTATTACATCATGTGTCAGTCTTGTATGAGAAATGATGATCTCTTTACAGCAAACTGGGAACAAAAAATATTAAGCTACAAAAAAATCCTCACAAATTAATAAGAAAGAAATTCTCTAAGCTCAAATCAAGATCTCAGGACTGGTATTTGATTGGTCAGAAACTGCCACAGAATGTACACACTCCCAAGATTTGAGACAGAACTTGGGGGAAAAAAATGTTTTAACCTCGAGGCCAGGTCTTCCTGATATATCACATATAGGTAAAAAAACAACACCCTTAACGGGACAAAATTCTGCCAAAATAATTAGGTAAAAAAAAAATCATAGCCGCGATTAACACTAGGGCACTTGATTACAATATCATTCTGTGACACACTTACTCTCTAGAATACAGGTTTTAAAAGATAATCTTTAGATGGAGCATTTCATTTTATATTTCAATAGGGTAAAACATTTTTGAGTGTCAGCTTCATCAAATTCAAAGATATTTCACTATAGAAACAAGAGCAATCAGTGATCACATGTGTCTCCTGATGATAGCCAATTCAGCAGTTGTATAGAGGGGTGATTGATCAGTTTGTTCTCTATATGTTGCAGCATCTGTGTAGCAGAAGAAAAGAATCATTAACAGGCCAAAATGCTTTATTTATTCAAGGGCCATAACTCAGCCAAAAATCATTCAACTGGAAAACTCATGTAATATGCACAAGCGCTTGGGGTACCGATTAATTCTGTAAAGATTCATTGAAATTGCATTAGTGGTATAAAAGAAGACAAACTTTAAAAATAAAAATTATTAAAGGGCCATAACTCTGAAAAAAATCATTGAACCGGAAAATGCTGACAATATGCACAACTAGACTTGGTACTGATCATTCCTGTAAAGTTTGGATGAAATTGCACCAGTAGTTTATGAGGAGTAGTTCGGACAAGTTTTTGACGGACGGACAGACGGACGGAGAAGTGATCCCTATATGTCGCCACTACTCCGTAGAAGCGACACAAAAATTGAATGAAACAAAAATTGAGTAAAAATACTCCTACATTGGCAAAAAATATGATAAACAAGATCAACAAGGAAAGGCGGCGTTCAATGAATGCAACCCCATCACGACCCAGCAACAAGGAGCCCAGATGGACCCCAAACAGAAAAAGGACAGGGCATAAGGCAAAGCACGGAAGGCAAGTTGGGCTTTTTTTGAACATACAATTACAAATCATTCACAATCTGCACTATGAAATCACAGTCTCTCTAATCTATCACAGAAAATATTATATATTAATAACTATAACAAGTTTACAATTGACATATAATATAATTTGTTTATTGTTGGTCCATAAGAGAGTTAATATTTATTTCTTTCAATCATTCTAACATAAAATTAAACATTTCTGATCACCAGAATCATTCAAAACTTTTAATATATATCTATATTTTTCTGTTTTGAATGTAAACCATTTCATACAAAAAACAAAAAAATTCAAGGAAATGTTACGCAGCAAACAATTTTATCAACTATATATACATGTATGTGCCAATAAGAAATAAACAAATAAATACGTTGTTAACCCTTAAGAGACTTTTTACAGTTAATTTTGTGCTTTTGCAAACAATAACCTGTTAAATATTACATGTTTCGATTTTTTTTTTCACCATGGCAACTAATTTGTGGTCACTTGGCTTATTATGCTAAGAAATAAGCATTGAAAAAATAAAATGGCACATCAGCCATTGGTCTCCTAATAGCTATAGCAGGGTGGCTTACATTAGCAAGAAATGTAAAATGTAATGTAACTTTTGCATGATCAAAAAAGAAAATGGCAGCAGATTGGTTAGTTAACATTTTGAATTTTAAATAGCTGACAACAGATTGTTATTAAATATGTATTATGTAAATGCAAAATTGTTATAAACATACAATATTGTATAAAACTAATTAATGATTATGAATTTTTAATATTTGACAACATATTGTTATGAAATATGTAATTATATGTTGATATAATGGTTATTTATGTTCAATACTGAATAAAAATAATTAACCATTTTATCATGTAACAAACTGCACTTAATGTAAGTTTTGTAAATTATAGCTAACAAGAAATATTTATATCATACTTCTGTCTAATACAATACAATCCAAAATAACATAAATTAAAACTGAAATTTTCATGGTCCTGCAAAAACTGTAAATAATCGTCTTGGCAAAAAAATATTTTTGGAGGTACTTGTAAAACTTTTCCATGAAAACATATTCCTCTTGAAATCTTTGTCTGTTCTGCAAATAACATGAATTCAGTCTATAGATATGAAATACAAATGAGCCGCGTCAGAACAAAACCAACATAATGTGTTGGCGACCAGTCCGAGCAGTCTGATCAGGATCCATGCTGTTTGCTATCAGTTTCTCTACTTGTAATAGGGTTGGTAAGCGAACAGCATGTATTCTGATCAGACTGCACAGATCAGCAGCGCAGGCTGGTCTCGATCCATGCTGGTCGCAAACCCATTATGTTGGTTTTGTCATGGCGCGGCTCAAATGTTGTCGATATTTTCTAACACTAAGACCTAGACCCTTGGTAAGATGAAATGTCCTGCGAGTGCTAGAAGAGGCGCCGCTGTTGGTACACCAGGGAACGGTCCACTTGAACCCGCGATGTCAAGGTGAGAATATGGTAGTGGCTTGTCTGAGTCATTACCATGCTGGAAATAAAAATAAAATTCACCATATATTTGCCTGTGCCTTGTGACAATACACTGACTAATACTGTGTGGACATTGCAATCTTTTACAACAAAATATCACAAATGTAACAAACATATACATGTATAGTTAAAAATTCAATAAACAGATACATACAGTGAAAAAACTATAACAAACAGTCAATTATTGACAATATCTTTTTCATTACAGTTTGCCAATGAAATCGCTCTATTTTGTTCAAATTTTGCCGAAATATTTACTATACAGTGCTGTAACTCAACTGTATGTATTAAATTTAAACGTTAAATTGAGCCGATTTAATGGACTTCGGCTAATTACATTATGCACTTGATTTGAATGGGCTGGGCTAACTATAAGTCGGTTATATACTAACCTTATCAAGCCCTGAAGCCATGATTAAGAAAGCAGCTGGAGTCTGGTGACCACGAGGAGTGGCACTGGATGGAGCATTGTTACACTGTAGCACGTCTTCATATTCAGACTTTCCTGTGTGGAACACATAGTCCTGAAAAAACATCAGTCTGCACCGTTTATTTATCATAATATTTATTCAATATCAACCATTTCATTGCTAAATGTATGGCATAAGGTATTACCCCTTTGTATTAGACATAATCCAGCACTCACCAAATGAGGGCTTTTTTCCCCCATCTAACCAGGGGTATAAACAAACTTTTACCGTTACAGCTTTTAGGTGCTCTAACATTTACAATAGAGAGATCAATGTGTTGTGCTTATTAGCACTATATTTACAAAGTTGTAACAGTAAAAGTGTATACTTTGGCATTAAACAGGGAAAAATCCACATTTTCAGGAGTTCTGGAGCATCTTTATGTCAACAAGGCAGTCTGAATGACATCTCAATATCCTTCTGTAGGGGACATGAATATGTGCTTCTTGACCTTTAATCAACCATGACCTTGATGTTGTGCCATGCATATATATATTATAAGCACATTTGCTTATCACAAAAGTCTGTTTCAGTTATTGACCAATTATCTTCCATATTTAGAAGGTAGATACCTTAGTAGATCCTCTTATTTTGTTTGAATTTTTAGGTCAAGGTCTTGGTAACAATGGGAAATTTTAGACTTCATATATTGACAATTTTCTTACATATTTAGTTGTATCATGCTTAAGCAAAATTGCTGTTCCATAGGCTTTATAATATGTCCTGTTTTAACTTGTAATACTTTAATTGTAATTAATGGTGATCATTTGTGCCAATATAATTAAAGAATTGTAGTAGTTAAAAAAGATATGAAAAGGACACACAATTTGAACATTTGACCTCTATGTGTGACCTAGACCTTAGTGGTAGCAACCTTTATGCATGACCTACATGTAGACCTCGGGGGTAATGACCTGAATATTGTGCTCTACACATCATGTCATTATGATGAATATTTGTACAAAGTCATTTTAAAATCAATTCAGTAGTTTAAAAGTTAAGGAGCGGATAGGAAAATGTGGAATTCATTATATGACCTTGACCTTGGGGGTAGGAACCTGGATGTTGTGCTCTACAGATTGTGTCATGGTGGGGATCATTTGTGCCAAATAATTAAAAAACCTTTGAATTGTCATTAAGTTATGGAGAGGACATGAAAAAAAGATGTTTTAACATTGAACTTTTGGGTGTGACCCTGACCTTGATGGAAGTGACTCGATTGTTGTGCTCTGCACATGGTGTCATAATGGTAATCATTCCTGCCAAGTTATCTTAAAAACATTGCCGCAGTTAAAATTTAGTAGCCAACACAAAGGGTTGATCAACCAAGACATTCTGGTCTTTTTAGTCATAAGCAATGACATTCAAAATTCTGTATTTTTAGGCAATGACAATTGAAATATTTTCTTCAAATGTTTCTGTTATCATATTCTAACAACATGCCAAATTTAAAGAAATTCTATTAAAAAGTTTTTATTTGCCTATAATAATAATAATAATAATAATAATAATAATAATAATAATAATAATAATAATAATAAAAAAAATAATATTAATAATTAATTTGCAATTAATTCAATTTATATTTTATTTTTGGTGCACATTTTGTCGGCACATTTTGTATTTTTTTTTATCCTTTGGGATCATTGATTTTATCACTTTTAAGTGTTGATTATTGAGGACCGCTCAAGCTGGTTCTAGGGGCGTGAAGGATGTCCAGACGGTATGTAGGGCATTTAAATGGTGTATCCATCTACATGTATGTGTTTTTTTTTCCTGTCAACGGCATTTCTTAATTAAGATGTAATGAACCATTATTTCAAATAATACCAGAACTACCAATAACAATTGGTATCAATAGCAAAGGGTGAAAACATGCATGTGGACAAGAAGTTGACCAAAGCATAATGGCCAAAGAAGTACAACAATAATACATCCATCCACAATACTTACATCTCTGCGGATAGTAGAAATTTCAAATGGGTCAGCTAAAATATCGCCTGCGGCCTGAATCACCGAGCTTGTGTTGATTTTCTTAGCTGGGCCATTGTCCATTATTATCTGAATAATATAAAACAAAAGATGAGCAAATGTCTGCAGTTTGATGGCACTTGTTAGAGAAGAGAGACCAACTACAAAACTATCTTGCATCACTGATATTGAAAAAAAACAACCCTTGTTTATTTCATACATTAATATAATTTGTATAAATGTCAATGTCACTGAAAAGGAATTCTACTAAGTCTGTTCGACCAATTAACAAATTTTTTTAATAAAATAAAATTTTATTCAACTTCAACTAATACTGTTAGCTAAGTGACAGTTGCTATGGTAATAAACTGAATGGTCATTAAAAAACGTCATGGCATATAATTTAACTTGCTTCTGTTGGTATGGTAATGAACAAATCATGAAATGGACAATCTTGGCATAATCAGTAATGGATGCTATGGTAACATAAAAACTATTTTAATTAAATGTTCTGTGATAAGTGCCATAAAAAAATTCATATATGTCTGTTTATGAACTTAACCATAATAACTTACAGAATAGTCTTCACCATAAGCTCTTATGGCATGTCCAGTTAGCGTTGCAATAGTAAATAACTGAGGATTTACAGCATTTAAAGCCTGAAATATCAAAAATGAAAATCAATCTAAAGCCTGAAAAAAAATATCTTCATCTCTCTAAGAAATGACTTCAAATAATAAACTTGTTATGATTCATAGATGTATTGCAGTTTGCCTTGTCCTCAATTTACGAAACAGAAAGAAATTGTAAATGGCCAATATGGCTGACGAGTAATGAAACAGTAAAAAATGGTAAATGGCCATACGTCAAAATGGCTGACGAGTAATGAAACAGTAAGATATTGTAAATGGCCACATGTCAATATGGCTGACGAGTAATGAAACGGTAAGATATTGTAAATGGCCATACGTCAATATGGCTGACGAGTAATGAAACAGTAAGAAATTGTAAATGGCCATACGTCAAAATGGCTGACGAGTAATGAAACAGTAAGAAATTGTAAATGGCCATACGTCAAAATGGCTGACGAGTAATGAAACGGTAAGATATTGTAAATGGCCACATGTCAATATGGCTGACGAGTAATGAAACAGTAAGAAATTTTAAATGGCCATACGCCGCAGACGAGTAATGAAACAGAAAGAAATTGTTAACAGCCATAATTGCAATTCATTATATATTTCACCTTGAAATATGTCGATACAGCTGATGAGTATTGCAATACTTGACAGCCAAAAGGATGTATTGAAATATGCAAAAAGTTTCTTGAAGAAAAAAACAAACAAAAAACACGAAAAGCCAGAATTAACATTTCAGAGGTTGTAGGTGAACCTGCGCCAAATTAAACCTTGAAATATACCTCAGATGAAGTATGGTTGTACATGTATACAAGAGAAACGTACCCAATAACACTGAATAAAACAATTCATTCACAAAGTTAAATGAGCCGCGCCAGGACACAACCAACATAATGGGTTTGCGCCCAGCATGGATCCAGACCAGCCTGCGCATCCGTGCAGTCTGATCAGGATCCATGCTGTTCGTTAAAAGATTCTCTTCTTGTAATAGGGTTTGTAAACAAACAGCATGGATCCTGATCAGACTGTACGGATGCACAGGCTGGTCTGGATCCATGCTGGTCGCAAAAGCACTATGTTGGTTTTGTCGTTACACGGCTCAAATGCAGATTACAGAAAGTTGCTTAATCACCTGACAAAAGTTTTAACTATAATTTTCAAATCATGTAGATTACTGTAACCTGTTTGTGTTACTTGGGAGAACCTTCCGGAAACCTTATATCATACATATATGTTTCCGCAAACACATTTGGGAAATAGTTCCATTTGGCCTACTTTAACAGAATTACTTGATTTACAAATGTACAATGTTTACCTGTCAACTTAACCATGTGTAGCATAAGACATGTGTAGCATAAGACATCACAAGTTTCCAGAAGAAAAGCAACAGGCTATTATGTCCGGGTAATTATGAAATTTAATTACTATGAAATTATATGGAAGTCTGGTTTCATTAAAACACCTTGAGTACACACACAACCTTTAGGTACAAATTAGCAACAACTTCCTTTAATTCTGATCTAATCTTTAAAGTAACTTACTTTTAAAAATAAACAACTATATCCAACATCCTTGAATTACATGAGCAATAGTTACGCATTAGATTTATAAATTATTTATAATTCATTCATGCACGAAACGTGGGAAGGTGTTTTGCACTACCATTACCTTCTTATAAAAGTGAAAAATCTCATCTCCTTCAAAAGCCAAATTTACAACCTTGTTAACCTCTTAGAATTTAAAAGGCTGTATCTTTAACAAATACACATAGCATTTATCATGCCATTCGTCTAAGACGTCGATTTCTTGATCCATATAAGCATAAACATATGTACAATCTGTATATTAAATTTTTAATTATATTATTTCTATATGTGCCTCGAAAAAAGTCTAAGGAGTTGTAATATATTAATGTCTAATATCGGATGCCACTTAGTGTGATACAGTATAACCTTTGCAGAGCAACACCTTGGTGGCATTGGATGCCACTTAGTGTGATACAGTATAACCTTTGCAGAGCAACACCTTGGCGGCATCGGATGCCACTTACGGTGATACAGTATAACCTCTACAGAGCAACACCTTGGCAACAAAGACTTCGGGCATCGGATGCCTCTTAGTGTAATACAATATAACCTCTACAGAGCAACACCTTGGCAACAAAGACTTTGAGCATCAGATGCCTCTTAGTGTGATACAGTATAACCTCTGCAGAGTAACACCTTGGCAACAAAGACTTCGGGCATCGGATGCCTCTTAGTGTAATACAATATAACCTCTACAGAGCAACACCTTGGCAACAAAGACTTTGAGCATCAGATGCCTCTTAGTGTGATACAGTATAACCTCTGCAGAGTAACACCTTGGCAACAAAGACTTCGGGCATCGGATGCCTCTTACGGTGATACAGTATAACCTCTACAGAGCAACACCTTGGCAACAAAGACTTCGGGCATCAGATGCCTCTTACGGTGATACAGTGTAACCTCTACAGAGCAACACCTTGGCAACAAAGACTTCGGGCATCGGATGCCTCTAACGGTGATACAGTATAACCTCTACAGAGCAACACCTTGGCAACAAAGACTTCGGGCATCGGATGCATCTTAGGGTGATACAATATAACCTCTACAGAGCAACACCTTGGCAACAAAGACTTCGGGCATCGGATGCCTCTTAGTGTGATATAGTATAACCTCTGCAGAGTAACACCTTGGCAACAAAGACTTCGAGCATCGGATGCCTCTTACGGTGATACAGTATAACCTCTACAGAGCAACACCTTGGCAACAAAGACTTCGGGCATCAGATGCCTCTTACGGTGATACAGTATAACCTCTACAGAGCAACACCTTGGCAACAAAGACTTCGGGCATCGGATGCCTCTAACGGTGATACAGTATAACCTCTACAGAGCAACACCTTGGCAACAAAGACTTCGGGCATCGGATGCATCTTAGGGTGATACAATATAACCTCTACAGAGCAACACCTTGGCAACAAAGACTTTAGGCATCAGATGCCACTTAAGGTGATACAGTATAACCTCTGCAGAGCAACACCTTGTCAACAAAGACTTCGGGCATCGGATGCCACTTAGGGCATCGGATGCCACTTAGGGTGATACAGTGTAACATCTACAGAGCAACACCTTGGCAACAAAGACTTTGGGCATCTGATGCCTCTTAGTATGATACAGTGTAACATCCGAAGAGCAACACCTTGGCAACTAAGACTTTGGGCATCGGATGTCTCTTAGGATGATACAGTATAACCTCTACAGAGCAACACCTTGGCAACAAAGACTTCGGGCATCGGATTGCCTATTAGGGTGATACAGTATAACCTGTGCAGAGCAACACCTTGGCAACAAAGACTTTGGGCATCACATGAATCATAGGGTGATACAGTATAACCTGTGCAGAGCAACACCTTGGCAACAAAGACTTTGGGCATCACATGAATCTTAGGGTGATACAGAATAACCTCAACAGAGCAACACCTTGGCAACAAAGACTTTGGGCATCGGATGCCTAATAGGATGATACAGTATAACCACTACAGAGCAACACCTTGGCAACAAAGACTTCGGGCATCAGATGCCACTTAGGGTGATATAGTATAACCTCTACAGAGCAACACCTTGGCAACAAAGACTTCGGGCATCGGATGCCTCTTAGGATGATACAATATAACCTCTACAGAGCAACACCTTGGCAACAAAGACTTCGGGCATTGTATGCCACTTAGGGTGATACAGTATAACCTCTAGAGCAACACCTTGGCAACAAAGACTTCAGGCATCGAATGCATCTTAGGATGATATAGTATAACCTCTACAGAGCAACACCTTGGCAACAAAGACTTCGGGCATTGTATGCTCTTATGGTGATACAGTATAACCTCTACAGAGCAACACCTTGGCAACAAAGACTTCTTCGGGCATTGTATGCCTCTTAGGGTGATACAGTATAACCTCTATAGAGCAACACCTTGGCAACAAAGACTTCTTCGGGCATTGTATGCCTCTTAGGGTGATACACTATAACCTCTACAGAGCAACACCTTGGCAACAAAGACTTCGGGCATCGGATGCCTCTTAGTGTAATACAATATAACCTCTACAGAGCAACACCTTGGCAACAAAGACTTCGGGCATCGGATGCCACTTAGGGTGATACAGTATAACCTCTACAGAGCAACACCTTGGCAACAAAGACTTTAGGCATCGGATGCCTCATAGTGTAATACAGTATAACCTCTACAGAGCAACACCTTGGCAACAAAGACTTCGGGCATCGGATGCCTCTTAGGGTGATACAGTATAACCTCTACAGAGCAACACCTTGGCAACAAAGACTTCGGGCATCAGATGCCACTTAGGGTGATACAGTATAACCTCTACAGAGCAACACCTTGGCAACAAAGACTTCGGGCATCGAATGCCTCTTACGGTGATACAGTATTACCTCTACAGAGCAACACCTTGGCAACAAAGACTTCGGGCATCGAATGCATCTTAGGATGATACAGTATTACCTCTACAGAGCAACACCTTGGCAACAAAGACTTCGGGCATCAGATGCCTCTTAGTGTGATACAGTATAACCTCTACAGAGCAACACCTTGGCAACAAAGACTTCGGGCATCGAATGCATCTTAGGATGATACAGTATTACCTCTACAGAGCAACACATTGACAACAAAGACTTCGGGTAACGGATGCCTCTTAGGGTGATAAGAACCTGCTGTCTCCACCAAATGAAATTTTTTTATTGTTTAACATTTATTTTTTGCTAGTTAAATTTATACACTGATCTTAACAAGCGTAATATCTTAGCAATCAGTTTACCGAACTTGATTTCCAGGATAACTCTACAAATAACCATCTACTTATTAATCATGATTTGTGAATCAACGATGAGAGACAAATGACCATAAGACCCAAAGTTTGAAAAAACTGTCACAGAGAAATTTCACTTCGCCCAAGGATAACCTGCACCCCTAGATTACAAAGCTGATGCCCTCCCAATTTAGCTTTGTTTGTTTGTTTTGTAAGGTTTAACAGCCCACAAACACAATTTAGGTCATATGTCGCTGAAAGATGATTTTGGCTGACCTCAGGTGATACAAACTTTAAGCAACACCTGGGGTTAAACCATACATAGATGCATATACTCCATAACCTTGAACCCATTAACTCTTATCTTATGACCATGCAGACATTAAATGTTGACTGCAATTCTAATGGCTTAACCCTTAAAGGAAACTCCTCAGCCACAATGTGAGCAAGTGGATAATAAAATTACAAAAGCTTCAATACCCATTCTTTCATTCTGCAGAGTACGTCAGCCATCACCATACGCCCTTCAGCATCTGTGTTTCCAACTCTTACACGTGCTCCAGCACGTGAAGTAATAATTTCATCAGCAACATAGCACTCTGAAAATAGAACATTTATAAAAGTACAAAGTATGTTGCTTTGTATCAAAAGCTTTTAGTATGGAAGGGTATCGTGGATGTACAAGTGAGAATGCAAGATGTACAAGTTAGAAAGCACGATGTAACATAAGAAAGCAATTTTTAGATGTAATTTTTGCGTTAATACCCTTCCATAGCTTTTAGAGTGAACTTTTTGTACCATTTAGACAGAATAAACACACAAGAACAATCAAAACAGACGTAATAGGCGGTAACAATTTTCATAAACATAAAAACAAAAAGTGAAAGGAAAATGCTCTAAAACCATGTTTTCCACCCATATCATGAAAATGAAAAGAAAAAACAAAGGGTAATAATTCTGAAAAAAGAAAGACAGTTATATAATCAAATTGTGCTTCAGAAAACAGAGGACAGTAAAAGTTGAGTTGAAATCCCTTGAGAAATGTAAAAGGAGTTGCACACAGCAGAAATTGTAAATGATTGCCCTGAGCCTGATCAACATTCACCTCTCTATTAACCAGTTTTTTCCTTCTCAAAAGCTGCTTAAGAATAATGACATTCAAAAACAAGAAATATTCAGCTCTGTCTATTTAATATGTACATGTATATTTATACTGTGCTCCTCTTAGTTCACGGTACTCTTTGAAGCAAGAAAGAAAACAACACACAAAATTTATGGTACAAAAATTGTCATCAGCTGTAACATAGGTATTTTCTGCTGTATGACACAAGGAAACAACAATATATTTAGTCAAAATCAGTTTAAATTAGCCAGACGTAGACAACATGTCGGCCATTTTGAAAACAGTATGTCATCATTTAAATCGCGGTAATGGTGTTTTATTTCAGTTTTTTCATGTTTCAGTTAAAATATCAACATGTTAATTTGCATAATTTTAAGATATTAAAAGTATCTTTACCTTGTAACTCAAAATTTAATTTTTTAACAAACAAGAACATTTTGAAAATGATGATTGTTTCAGATGTATGTACAAATTTAATGGACTATTGTTGCTTTATGCAGAAGTTTGTAAAATGTTGTTCTGTTTTACGTAAAAATCTAGATTTAAAATATTTTGCACAAAAACTTTGTTGTTTAGGTGTTTGAATAAAATATGTCAATTCTGACCAATTATAACACTGGTCACATAAAAATATGCCATTACCGTGAAATAAGTGATGACGCGGAATTAGTGATGTTGAGTATATATATAAATTTTTTTACAGATATTAGCTATTTCAAGATCAGGATTTTTACTTTTGACGTTTGGTTGCGATTAAAAATGACTTTTAATACTTTTTATTTCTGTTCAAACAACAACAACAAAACAAACAAACAAACCCTACTGACAACAACATTTGAAAGGCATGAAAAAATGTACAATAATAGTATAATACATACATAATAGTATATTGTTTTTATGTTTTTGTTATTGCCTTTATATAATTGTGATAATTGTCAGTGTGAAAAATAGAAAATAAATCAAAAACAAAATTTGTTATTTATATGGACATCGTTGCATACCCACGGCCAAACCATTAACATTTATCAGTTATGTTACATGTTAATCAAACGTGCGATAACTGACGATGGTACATATGATCATTTTACCTTCTTATTAAGCATATTACTATATCTTATATTTTTTTGCCATCATCAAATTTTTATTTTTTAATTTTATTACATAGGTAGTAGCAGCTATTATTCATCTCCATTAGGAAACATTAACGCTTAAAATATGTACTGACTGTATATCTTATATTTTTTTTTGCCATCATCAAATTTTTATTTTTTAATTTTATTACATAACTAGTGGCAGCTATTATGCATCTCCATTAACGCTTCAAATATGTACTGACTGAGTAAAGATCAGTGTAGACTGTGGTCAAACTGCACGGACTTGCCAGCAGAGTTAGCTGATCTAGGTCTGCATGGGTCCCATGCGTACAATCCATTGCCAACAGCATGCAAAAGTTTAAGACTAAAAAATTTTAGTGACCTTGAAAGATCGAACCAACCTATATTATGTCAAGCTATTGAAATTTTTCAATTGATATTAATAAATATTGAAGTTTTTACTGTCAGCTTACAGAAATGATGACAGGTTCAATGTTACAAGTTCAGCATCAAGCAAACCCACAAATCCCTACAATATGACATAGTTTTCCCTGTTGACTGCTAGATTTCATTTTTATTATCTAATTTTAATAAAGGGCAAGTGTATTACGAAAATTCAATTATGATATGGAGATGTTAAACAACACTTAACAGCCCTTAGTTCACAACTGGTTTCAAACATATGAAACTTATGCTGGTTAATTGCACATAAACATGCTTAAGGGGCACAACTGAGGCTTTTTTTGACATGATAGAACTGGAAATATTTTGCCCCTTTTTTATAATAATTATGTTGTTATATTTGACGTCAATAATATGAGTTGAATTCCGATATACAGAAATCAAATGTTATTGAAGAACCAGTGCATTCTTATGATTATTTAGTGTTTACACGTCAACATTTTGGTCCTTTGGTCCTGTGAACCTGGAAACCTAATATTATGAGAGCATCACTTCAATATTAAGAAGCATGATTAAGAAAATGCATCATGATTCATTTCAAAGTGAATTTAATGAAAACTTTGTAAAAAATATTATCACCAAAAAAAATGAATAAGTGAAAGTCTTCCTGTTCAAGAAATAATTAACATTTTCTATAACTTATTCATTCAAATCAACAAACCAACCATGGTGTAATTATTTTATAAGTAAGGCTCCTTGTTATACAAAATATTTGGTTCACGATCACCTCCATTTGCCATCACTTTCAACCCCATTCCCTTTTATTGACATCCTTTTCTTGTTGTCAGAAAAAATATTTACGTTTTGTTTCAGTTTTTAATTATCTTTTTAACCCTTCAATTACCATACAAAATATCTGAAATGTAACTGTCTATCTTTCAACATGGCTATCACAATTTGATCATTATTCAGGGAAATTTTCTAAATATATACCGGTACTCAGACTGAAAAGCAAAAGGTGCAGACCATTATTGGACAGAATATCTTGGTCTGCACTGGGCACATGGGTAGAATCAGTCGCTGCTAGCAAGCTATGGGTTAACTAATATCTACCTCATACAATATACAAAGAACCACTTTTGATATTTGGCCTTTTTATCTATTTTAAAACATTACTCAAGAGATGTGAAACTTGATAAAATTTTGATTATAAATAAAAACCTTTAGATGCTTTACTAGACATTGAAATACTTAGACACCTTGCAGACGGAATGGCTTTCTTTAAGTTATATTTAACAATAATTTGCGCAGTGATATTAACAGGTATGTAATAATTTTCAAATCTTTTACAAGTAAAGTGTTTTCCATTGATAGCAAAATTAAACAAATAACTACCGTAATCACTTTTTTGTGTGCTTTATTAACCCGACTTGAGCAACAATTTGGTTACTTTTTATTACAGTAACTTTATTGAGGTCCGAAAGCCTAAAAAACATGTAATTTGAATATCTTACATATCGTACCTCTAGATCAGATGCCATGCAAAGATATACAAAAGAAAGTATAGAAATATACTCAGAAATAAATCAAATTTTTGTGCTATTCTTAGCTCACTTTGAGTGAAAAGCATTGCTAAGAATTTCAAATTTGGGTCATAGGTCATTTTTCACAATTATAATAATAACTCTGGAAAAATGGAGCGAGTTATTAATCCAGATTATTTTTTAATCGAGAAAAAAATTTCATTCTCTATTTCAACAGTTTATTTGTTTTCACCATATTTTAAGTTTAATTTATTCTTTTATAATATAAATATAGTAATTTTGTGTTATAGCATGGTCGAGTGGTTAGCATGTTAGACTAGTAATCAAAGGATTTCTGGCCACATGTGTTCAAACTCTGTATAAGGGACAAGCCATTTTTTCCTTGAGCAAGAAACTTTAAACTCAATGCTAAGTACAGGTTAGTACCAGGAAGGGAATCAAGAGGGTTTCAATAGGCTAATATAGCTTCCAACACAATGGAACTAAAATAAATTCAAATAATCTAATACAGTAATTTCATGATACAATTTAATTTGGTTTTAATAGCTGACTAAAATAGACATATCTACAATAAATAAAGATCTTAACAATATATAAATAAAATTTCTTAGGATTTTGAAGTGCAAAAATATAACTGAAAATAAAAATTTCAAAATTTTTACCCAAGGTGGATGATCATGTGACACTTGTTTACAGTAACACTGGGTCACTACTACAGGCCGCAGCCATGACTTCAAATGATATGATGTCATAAAAACAATTTGAAGATTTCAAACAACTGAAATATTATTTAACTTCTTTTACCTTTTAAGGAAGTCACCCGCAAGGTAAAAATGTAATAATGCTTAAAATTTCTCTTCAGAAACTTCTGGAGTCCTACATATCTCCTTTAATGGGCAAGACATTGATCAGCTTCCGGATGGTGATCCAATCAAAATCATTGAGGGTCATGACCTTCTATTTAAGTGTTCATCTAGTTACCTAAACCCCAGTTTTGTTTGGACCAAAGATGGAGGACAATCATCTTTTGGTAGCATGAAAAAAGTTACACAGGTACAGGATATTGATAACGGCATCTATACCTGCAATGCTTCAAGTTGGGACAAAACATACCAGTTTCAAACCTTTGAAGGCAAATCTGTAACCGTGGAAATTCTCTATCCTCCATCATCTCCTACAGTTGACCCTTTTTTAGGAAATAACTTTAAATACTCTAATGTACTCAATGGACAATTCATAACATTAAAATGTGATTCTGATGCAAAACCAAAGCCGAATTTCCAATGGCGGAAAAATAGTGTCACAGGACCACTTATAACAAGAGAGAGCACATATCAATTAAAAGTTGCGACATACACAATCGATTACTACTGCATTGTTCAAAATCGAATGGTGCCTACACTAGGTGAAGCTATCACTACTCAGTATACTCATAAACTTCAAATTTCACCACAAATCAAAGCATATATTTATAGAATTGAAAATAGTAACTATAGAAATGTCAATGAGGGCGACAACATAATTGTTAAATGTTTAGCATATGGCAGACCTGAGCCAAGAGTATGGTGGACGAAAGAAAACGATCCTGATTTCTATCTTGAAAATAATCAATTGTATAAAGAATCGGTTAGTCAGAAATTTTCTGGCACCTATTACTGTAATGTTGAAAACACTGTTACAGCATTCAATCAAAGTCGTATAACAACCACGGCTAAGGAAGCAGTTTACATTACTGTACATGAAAACAGCCAAATCAGCGAGGACTCAAAAATAGACAATAGTATCCCCTTCAGATCTAACAACTCGTGCACTGACATGGAAGTAGAAAACACAACTAGGAATACAACTTTGTTTATATTAACAGCTATTGGTTGGTTCGGTTTTGTACTTTGCATTGTTTTTCATATTATTCTGTGCACTAGAAATCGAATCAAGAAACAAGACTCAGCAATGAGATCAGCCTCGTTTTCAGCATCATTCAATGATGAACCACTATCAGCTTCCTCAACGTACACGAATAATGTCCGAATTCCAGGCTCGTGTAGTGGATCAATGTATGATCAAATAAAACCACGCAGCTTGAGTGTAGTTAGTACCACATTGTCTGATTCAAATCAAACAGTACTGACAAATGTTTCCTCATCTGATCCAGTCATATCAGATTTTGCTGCTTACCAAAACCCCAAAGATTAACAGTTCAAATTTTCATCATAATCAAGCCTAGGTCATTACATATAGTAACATTATGCCAGCAATTCAAGCCCCCTGAATAACCATATTATTGTTTACTTAAATCTCCAAGCGCGTAGAAACAGTCAAATGGTTTATTATATCTGCCAATCTATCCTGGGTCGTAGGTTTGAGTACTTTTAGGTCCTCATGTAGAGTTTAATTAAGCTTATTAGAACTGACACAGGGTCTGTATATCCTGCGCTCCACTTTGTCACCATGATATCTTCTGACTTACAGTTAACTAACTGACTTGACCAAGAGACATGGTGAATTTTTTTTTTTGGAAAGGCTATTTCTTTTACAAAGACCATCTACCAATCGCATTTTCATGCATGGATGATGCACAGTAACTTCTACCTTAACATTAATTAGCTACATGTATAGACCCTTTCATTTAAGTGATTATAGACCCATTCAAGTGACAAGTGTCAGGGAAGAGTTACTTCCCTTACCAGATGTGACGTAAATGAGGGATTATACCATACAGACGGTGTAGGAAGTTAGCTTATTGAAAGTTAAATGCGTAAATACTGATCTTTTAATTATGATTATAACATGAAAATCTTAACTTATAAATAGATAAATTCTATATTAAGACAAAAAAAAAAATTCACAAAAAAAAAAGATTAAGATAAATTCTAGCTATTTGATAAAACAGCAGAATTTCAAAGTGAATATTCTATTAGATTTGGAAATTGGAGACTTTGTGTCAGACACATACATGCACAGTGCGTTAGCTGGAGTACAGGTATTAGTTACCTTCACTCTAGTTACCGCACTGTCTGTCAGGGATTAACACAGAGCATGCTTGTTGATTGTCTACATTTTCTGAGGTTTACTTATTATGACAACAAGAAAAGGAATAATGATAGAAAAATCATATTTAGATTTTCTCACATTGGTACATTTATTCTGGGGTTTCAAACTGTGATGACAAGAAAGGTGTTTTTATTTTTACCTTGATACTAGAGAGAAAGAATATCAGACACTTAGCAATCTAATTAGAAGACGAGGGCTATGCCCCCTCGTACAAATCCAATAGCCTTGTTTGTTTGTTTGTTTGTTTCATCCCAACAATATTTCAGTCATATAGGCAGGTAGTTTCCTAACCATCGTTCCTGAAGAGTTACACCAGTACTAGACTACCTTCCTCCGCGCTAAACTACCAAAGCATCTCCTGGGGATCGAATCCATGACAGAGAGGTAACTGGATTAGAAGTCATCAACTCTAACCCCTCAACCACAGAGGCGGTTTAGTTTTGATGATCTTTCTATTGCTTTTAACACAGTATGTTACTTGTCATTCAAGTCATTATGGAAGTTTGTTTTTCACTCTAATGACACACCAAACATGCATATAAATTTGTCCCCAATCAAATTTGTAACATATGATTTTGCAGAAAAGTAAAATAAAAATTGCCCATAACTTTTGCTTAAAAGGGAAGGAATTACAATTTTTATCTTACATGCTATTACATATGTTTTAAAGCAGCATGCTTCCAGATTCATGCTTATTTGCATAACAATTTTAAAATGTATTAAAAAGTAAAATACTGTGTAAGTACTTTTTTCTGCGGGAACTTTATTTCTGCTATTTCTGTGGTTCATAATGACACCGCAGATTTAAAAACCGCAGAAAATTAAGCCTTTCCCTATGTCTATGTCGGAATATGTCATCTACCGGTATTGTATAATTACATTACCATGTACCGTTATCAGCTTTTGTAGATGGGATTTTTTCTTTATGTATCCATCATCATGAATAAAATATAAGAAAAAAGTTACTTTACTTGTTCTGTTTGTTTAAATAAATATCATGTTTGTATGATTTTCGCTCACCCTAAGCATCAATTTTTTTTTTAAATAAAACTATTATAGTTTGACGGTGTAATAAACATACCCTTTTGTACAATATCTTGTGTCTACGTGCGATTTTACCATTGTTTATTTTTCACACCTCATATTGATGCACATGCAGTATTACATTTAATTGTTGTCATTGCACGTTGTTGATTTTTGTTTTTTTAACGTTTATATAACGATACATGATGATTACGATGAAACACATTATTAGTCGTCTGCATGTTTACCGGAAGTAATGTACATGTTACACCGACAAATCTTGAAATGTTGTTTGTTTGTATTGGTTAATTTTGTAAAAATGTCTAAAATTAAAACATAGAAATAAAAAACACCAATGTGAGAATGATGACACCGCAGAAATAAGATACACTGAAATTTAAAACCCTTATTTTAACAAAAATCGCAGAATATTAAGCCCGCAGAAATAAGTACTTATACGGTACTGTCAAGTTTATAAAGATAGTAATTTACACTCGCAACCGACACACATAAGATCTATAAAATTATCAACAATTAGTCAGAATATGCAAAAAAAGTCCTTAGTGCATTAGTCATGCAGTTGCAATATGGTGATAAATACTGCAAAATCAATCAATAACTGCATATAGCATGTAGCATGTAAAAAGTCTTAAATTGTGAATATTTTTTAATATCCTTATAATCTAATCTAAGTACATTTTTCTCATGTTTATTTTTCTTGTAAAATTTTTTGCTCATTTAGAGGCATACAGCTTTAAGGAAAATCCATTTTGTAATGTAGGTAGATAAGCATTCATAATGTAACATTTACAAGTGCGGACAGACTGTCAAAGGGACAAACTGACTCCAGTATTTGCCCTTCAAACTTTGTTTGAGGAGTATAATATAAATGTTTGAACTCAACTAACTCTACAGAATTCCTTCTCTTTCTTATCTCATTTTTCTGACTCAGAAAACACATCTGAACAAAATTTGTCAAGAATATGTCCAGTAAAACACAGCTGACAACATGAACAAAATATCATATGAAGTCCCCTTGTCAAGGTCTCCGACAAATTGCAACAGAGGTCGAAGAAACCCATATATATTATCATTTGTTATCATTTTGTTGGCTTTTAAGTCATATCAACACTGAAGAGGTCATTTCGTCATCTTTGTGCAGTAATGGGTTAAGTCCTTCTAAATTTAATAGGAGTTAACCACCAACATACTGTAAGCCAAAGGATTCCTATGCTAAAACCATGACAGAATTTGAGGAGAAAAAAATTGAACCCATTTTTAAAATTTTGAAATTTGTTTTTGATACTGGCCAGGTTTTGGGAATTGAAAAATTGACCCATTTTAATACCAATATATGTTTACAAGGATATTACTTATTTATGGTAAACTTGTAATTTTATATTGTTCCCAATGTTTAGTAAAACACAGCAAAGTCTGAATTTTAAGGTTATGGTTCCTAAAAATGCTAGGGAAAAATAAAAACAACTCTGACTTACCTGAACCGACACTATTCCTGACCATTGACATACTTCCTACAACTTTGATCCCCTTTGGCTTTAATACTGACAGTGTCTATAAGTAAACAAGAACTGTTATTAACATTAATCATTTTCTATATTTTAACAGTACTCATACTCTAATTAGAGCTCCTATGGCCAACTCACTGAAACAAAATCATTTTTCTGCCCCCACAGATTTTGGTATGGATCCCATTTAGGCATACCATACCAAGCTAAGAGCAAAATGGTTGTAACTAATATAACATAAAGGAGATACAAATGTTTTACAACAAGGCCTGTTGTATTGAAGGTAAATCCAGGGACATCACACACAGTGTTAATGCTCGTCTGTTAAGAGCAACAACTATCAATAACCAATTTTTTTATCAATATTCAAGTTAAAAAGGGACATGACTCTTGACAATATTGCTCAGAAGGATACAGCCCCTTGTCTAACAACTGTGCATTGTCATAATAATTAAGTATTCCAAGTTTCATGTTGATATCTGTGCTACCTGTTGATATCTGTGCTATCTGTTGATATATGTGCTATCTGTTGATATATGTGCAATCAACATGTTGTTATCATTCTGTGCTATCTGTGATATCAACATTTTGATATATGTGCTATTTGTTGATATCTGTGCTATCTGTTGATATCTGTGCTATCTGTTGATATCTGTGCTATCTGTTGATATCTGTGCTATTTGTTGATATCTGTGCTACCTGTTGATATCTGTGCTACCTGTTGATATCTGTGCTATTTGTTGATATCTGTGCTATCTGTTGATATCTGTGCTATCTGTTGATATCTGTGCTATCTGTTGATATCTGTGCTATCTGTTGATATCTGTGCTATCTGTTGATATCTGTTGATATATGTGCTATCTGTTGATATCTGTGCTATCTATTGATATCTGTGCTATCTGTTGATATCTGTGCTATCTGTTGATATATGTGCTATCTGTTGATATATGTGCTATTTGTGATATCAACATGTTGATATCTGTGTCAGAGGTGAAAGTGGTGACCATAAGCATTCAGCTATGGCGACCACTTAAGATAATTGTAATTATCCCATAAAACATTAATGTTGATGTTACCTTAAAGAATCCAGCAACTGTGGCCGCTCCACATTTGTCCCGGTGCATCCCAGCCATAACACCACCAGCTTTGATATCAGCTCCACCAGTGTCGTATGTAATTCCCTAAAAGGTAAAAAAAGATCTTTACACATCATCTTGTTCAATTGGATACATTTTTTTGTGGTGTTAATGGTGAGGGTTTAGCAAACACATTGGTAAACTATGAGCTGTGACACAAGCCGTTGTTTCCTTGAGCAAGAAACTTTACACTCATCGCTCAGTACTGATTGGTCCCAGGAACAAATTTCCTAATTCAAAGGTGAAATTTCAAACTGGCCAACAATGGCAGACTTCTAATCAGAACTGGTCACAAAAAAATAGGTTCTATTTGTTTTTACCTTTCCAACGAGAAATAGAGTTTTTTCAATCGGGCCTTCTCCCTCGTATGTCAGGTATATCAGGCGACCTTGGTGTCTTGGTACCACTAAAATAAGATATATCAAACAATTAACAAAAGACCAAAATACATATGAGCCACGTCATGACAAAACGAACATAGTGCGTTTGCGACCAGCATGGATCCAGACCAGCCTGTGCTTCTGCGCAGTCTGATCAGGATCCATGCTGTTTGCTATCAGTTTCTCTACTTGTTATAGGGTTTTTAAGCGAACAGCATGGATCCTGATCAGACTGCACAGATGCGCAGGCTGGTGTGGATCCATGCTTGTCGCAAATGTACTATGTTGGTTTTGTCAAGGCGTGGCTCATACGATACTGCATATACAAATAATGAGAACAGTCACATTGCAAACATGGGTCTGAGATTATAAGAAATTTTCCAAGCTCAAACTCAAAGCTAAGGCATTTCATTGGTCAGAATCTCCCTCAGAATGTAAACTGACCAATGAAAATCCTGAAATTTGGGACAAGACTCAACTTTGTACAACCTCGAAGCAAGGGCTGTTTACTTTGTTTCATAGAAAATCCTAAGTGTAGCATAAGTCTAAGGACATAAGACAAAAATTAAGGACTAACCTAAAGACTACTTCAATAAACATTTACTTAAGATTTTAATTAAATTCAACTTGGTGAGAAAAGTTAAGAAATACAACGGCCAGTGGTTTAATAGGCAAAGTTCATCTGCCTTGTTATTCAGAAATTGAAGGAGTCAAAACATAGAAATCATAAGTTAGGACATTTTCTTTCAAATGCAAAGTTGTCTGAGTTTTGGTCTAAAGACTGATTTAAGACTAAAGAGTCAAGACTCTCTTTAAAAAATGAACCTTGTTGTTGAAGATGTCTTTCACCCTTCTACTAGTCTAGATTCAAATTTGGTCAAAATGAGTAGTAACCATTTTTCATTGTCAACTTTGCATCATGGTGAGTGACAAGTTAAGAAACAACTAGTACAATTTTTCTGATGGTTTTTGGAAAGATGAGGCTGGGAATAGAAATATTGAACATCAGTTTTTCTATGGATCATCAATGCATCAGTTTTTCAATGGATCACCAATGTATTTTGAACACAGGTTTGACTGTACTTACATCTTGCAGCTCTATTCACGGCTGCCAATAAAGGATACTCTTTCTCAAATACAGCAACATCCGATATCACTTCCACCTAAAGTATTCATAGAAACCAAAAAACTTTTATTACCTAATCTTCTAACTAAATTATCATGCTTCATGTAACAGAATTATTTGGAATTGTTGAATGTTGATGTAAAAGATTTTATTATGAAAAATGCTAAACTTAATAAAAATGAACTATTTTAATAATATTACAAATATTTCAAGATTAATTGACCGTGATATCATTCTGCTAGGGATTTTCCTTTTCTGTTAATGACTGGCTCTTCATAATACAAAATGCTGCTTTTTTAATTTCACTTACCTCCCTTAAGTTTAGTTTGCAATTGAAAAAGAAACATTCTTGAAAAACTGTTAATAGTGTATCAAATATCTGTCACAAAAGTTCTATTCTTTAGTAAAATAAAGAATTTACACATATATTACTCATATATTACACATATATGACATTAAGTGTTGTATTTATTAAAGTGACATGATGCTCATTTTTTTCAATTGTCAAGGAAATGTGTTACAGATGAAATATAAATATGCCTAAAATATAACAAGAAATGTGTTCATAGGACACGGTTGCCCCCACTCTAGGTCAAATATTTTTTGGGCTACATGTGCCACAAGTTGAAAACTAAAAACCTTTTGTTAAGTAAAGGGCAAGAACTACAAATACTGAATAAATCTACAAGCAAACCTCAAGGTGCATAAGTACACATGCTGACCAACATTCTTGTAAACTTTCAGACCTACAGGTCAAATACTTTTTGAGCTATGCATGAACAAGCTGAAAATTGCAAATTTATACTAAGTCAAGGGCAATAACTCCAACAAAACTGAAAAAAAATCCACATGCAAAACCCAGGTGCATAGCTTAAAAGTGATGTTGATCATTATTCTTGTAAATTTAGTTGATTCTAACTCAAGCATTCAAGGAACAAATAACACAACATAATGAAAAGGTTTTTACTAAGTTAAAGGCAATATCTCTAGAAATACTAAATAAATCCGCAAGCGAAACCAAAGGGCACAACTACACATGTTGACCAACATTCCTGTTCAGTTTCATGACTCTAGGTTGAATACTTTTTGAGCTACGCACAATACAAATTGAAAATTGCAAATTTTCACTAAGTCAAGGGCTATAACTCTGACAAAACATAATAAATCCGCAAGCAACATTCCTGTAAGGTTGCATGACTCTAGGTCATATATTATTTGAGTTACATGCGACACAAGTTGAAAATTGTAAATTTTTACTAAGTCAAGGTTAATAACTCTATAAATACTTAATATATCCACACAAAAATACCCAGGTGCACAACTTCACATGCTGAGCAATATTCCTATAAGGTTTCGTGACTCTAGGTCAAATAATTTTGAGTTACGTGCGTCACAAATTAAAAATTGCAAATTTTTACAAAGTCAACGGCAATCACACTAAAAATACTAAATATACACACGAAAATACCCAGGTGCACAACTACACATGCTGATCAACATTCCTGAAAGGTTTCATGACTCTAGGTCAAATACTTTTTGAGCTATGTCCGACACAAAATGAGAACGGAAGGACAGACAAGGGTAAATCTAAATCCCCCCCCCCAAAGTGGGGGCACAAAAAGACTGCCCCACTGTTTTTATACATCAAATGTTTCAGGTATATTCAGATAGATATTTACAGAAATCTTCTTGGGCCACATGAGTTATTTATTGTTCATGCTAGGATACTTATAAAATTGAAAGAATTATTGCAAAATGTACACTTATTTTGACTCACACTTGTTTCATTCACTATATAACCTTAGATGGGCATAACGTCTTTTTAATAAATAGTTCCTTAACACAATAATGATTTTCTTTAGTATATTATATAAACACATTGTATTCTGTCATAATTTCTGAATTATTAAAGTGAAAGTATGCCTATCAATATTAAGTACACAAGTACAAAAACTGTTTGCAAATAGCAATATAATATAAATATATCCGCACAACCATTAATATATGGCCATATAACCTGTCAGAAATCTTTGTAACTACATTGTAATAATCTTTTGAAACATAATATGTTATAGCTAATTAAGATCCAGTTGACAAAGAAAAAATCTGCATAATGTCACTTATTTCAAATTATGTAACATACTGTTTCCTAAACTGAACAAGAAATGATGATGAATGCAAAGATTCTTTTAGATGTATTAAAGCTGTCAAGATCATTTCCAATGATAAACAGTTATCTGCTTAAAATTTGTTTATAGAAATAAATTATACAAAACTTAAAACAATATCTGTTTTTGTTGAACTATAGCAACAATAAATTTACCTATAGCACTTGTCAATTGTGAAAAGTTCAGAAAAAATTGCATGTTATATTCAAGTCAGACATTTTTTTCTAAAAAGAACACAATCATGGAAGGAATATTGTTTAAGTAATGTGGTATTCATATTACAAAATTATGTGTATTATAAAGTGACATACAAAATGAAATGAGACTGTCATAACATACGTGTATGTGTTTTTTTCAAATATGACCTTTAAATTCAAATGTACTACGAGCAAGTGAAATGCACTTTGAAAACATCTTGGTACCAAACCTTAGCGTCCTGTCTGGTACCAGGCCATATGCCCTGTACCTCAGCGTTCTCTCTGGTACCAGGCCATATGCTGAGTAATTGGCATCCTGTCTGGTACCAGGCCATATGCCGAGTACCTCAACATCTTGTCTGGTACCAGGCCATATGCCAAGTACCTCAGTGTCCAGTCTGGTACCAGCCCATATGCCGAGTACCTCAACATCCTGTCTGGTTCCTGGCCATATGCTGAGAACCTCAGCTTCCTATCTGGTACCAGGCCATATGCCTAACCTCAAAGTCGTGTCTGATACAAGGCCTTATGCCAAGTACCTTAGTGTCCTGTCTGGTACCAGGCCATATGCCGAGTACCTTAGTGCCCTGTCTGGTACCAGGCCATATCCTCGAGTACCTCAACATCCTGTCTGGTACCAGGCCAGTCAAAAATCATCTGACCATGACTAAATTCGAACTTGACCTGCATTTTCTTAAGATATATCCATATGTCAAATTTGGGTTAAATGTGAGCAACCTTTACCAAGATAATGAATGGAAACTGATGATGACAGAAGGCTGGAATGACAGAACAGGGTAACACTTTATGCCCAGGCCATTTTATGGTGGGGGCATAAAAAAAAGCAACTCCCAAACACTGTTTTGGAATGCATCAATGCCATCATATTACACTATAAATACAAAAACATGCAAGAAGAATATTTTACCTTAATGGCAGTATCTTGAAAGATATTTTTCACATATTCTTCAACTCTTGGTGCAGCCATTCTTTCTGGATCCGAACCGCCTATGTCTCGAGTCACAATCCTAAATAACAATATTTTACATTTATATTAACTTTGTATATAAAAACAAGTTGTTTATTGAACAACAGTTTTAAATGGGGCTATTGGCCACAATGGTCAACAGGTTCAAATCACTTCAATAAATCCCCAAAACCCTTATTGGTTGAATCTCATCAGGATTATTTTATGTGAGAGAGCTATCCAGCTAACTAACAGAACGTTGGTGTTTCCATTCAGGTTGATTATTTTTTCATAGTAAAATATTATATTTAAAAATTATGAAAAAAAATATAATTATGGTAAAATGTCAAGTTATTTCTATCTTTTACCTGTTCACTGACCATTTACACTTGGATAGGCAAAATGTCACTTGAAGTTAAAAAGGGGCATAATTAAAACTATAACTTTCAGAATTATGCCCCTTGTCTAAAAAACTTTGTCAGTTTAAGAAAGTATTTCAAGTTTTGTGTTGATAACTTTTAAAATGTTTGAATTATGGGACACATTAATGTTCTTGCACTGTAATCAAAATAGCTAAGACAATCATGATGCAGCCATCATAATTCCTTCACTTTTTCTTACAAACAGACAAGCTAAAACTTAAGTTATCCACAGTCCAGACTGTTTGGCCTGACTGCACGGATGTGGCCAGCCAACATGCATGGCTTAATCTTGAAGACAAGCATATGACTACTGTCCAGGTAGCTGTTGCTAGCTACCTTTTCGGGAAAGACGCCAACACTGGTGCGGTGACGGATCACAATGGTGTAGCAGTCGGCAGCCCTTTTTTTTTGTGCCCACCAGACTAGACAGATATGGCCAGTTGGCTACGCTCTATTTAAACAATCACTATTGATATCAGCAAGTTAAGTTAATAATTGTTCCTCTATTTTAATGCATTTAAGGCACACACACATGAAGCTGTAATTTCTTGATACAATAACTTCTTGTTACTAAGAATTCATAACCCTGACAATACATTTTTGTACATGATAACGTAATTTCAGTAATTTTTTATCTTTTTTTACCCATTTTTTTTTCCGGCTGCACAGAACTTATCAATGAGGGGTAAATAATCCTTTACTCGCAAAAGTGGCAGAGGTTCGCATAACATAATTTCATTCAACTTTTTCAATGATTTCAGTAAGACCAATGGGAAGATATAGTTAAGTAATCAATATGAAAAATAAACTTTATTGTGCTATATAAATTTAGTAATAATTAGCAGGTTTAGACCTGTAACAAACTTTAAGATATATGATTAATTAATTTTCACAGTGTGTACAATATCCTCTATATTATTAACATTTTTCAATATCTGTGACACACTGTGAAAATTAATTAATCATATATCTTAAAGTTTGTTACAGGTCTAAACCTGCTAATTATTACTAAATTTATATAGCACAATAAAGTTTATTTTTCATATTGATTACTTAACTATATCTTCCCCTTGGTCTTTATATAAAGCTCTGTTGGTCTTATGTAAAAAAAAAGTTAGAAAGGTTGATAACATTAACTATCCCAGGGTTTGGAAAATTTCTTTGTTCTTATTAATAGTTATACTCAGTAAACATTCAATGAGCATTTGAAAACTGTATTGATAATTTGATATATAACAATGCAGTTTTCATACATGCCATATCCTCTGCTGGGGAGAAAAATCCCCCGATTTTTAGGCTTGTTCCCCAATATCCCGCCATGGGATCAAATCCCCCATTTTCAAGAATCCAAGCAATAAAAAATTAAAAACATAAAACGTAATTTAACAATACACTTGGTATTTTAAGCACATTTACAACGATAAAAACGGTAGGGTACTAGTTGATAATTACTCCGACATACTTCAATTATTTTCAACAGCTGTCAACAATAAACAAAGGAATTGATCTAAGGATCAAATTTACAGTAGTTCAAAAATAATTATCTGAAATGGTGGTTCTCTGGTGGGAATAAAACACATCAAGTTGTATTATAAAATGATAAATGTATATCTGAATTGCAATGTTTATATTCTTATATAATGTTTTTTCTCTAGATTTTCATTTTACATGTTTCTTAACTCGTAACATGGTATTTGCAGTTTTGTTGTTGTTTATCATACCTTTTGTTTGTAAATGTTTATATTATGTACATTGTATATTTAAGAGGCTCATAGGGAAGACTGGGCATGCCCAACTATGTTGCCTCTTTAAATAAAACCTTTATTATTATTATTATTATTATTATTATTATAGGAATGCATGACATGACTCTCTCTCAATGATCCTGTCAATCAGTGTCAATCAGGCGCTAAACAAAGAAAAGGCATCCGATATTGAATGCGTAACGTTTCAATATTTTGGGACACGTATCTCCGTCTTGAATGTTGTGTCAGTGTTTTGTCTTTGAAGTTGATTGAAGTAAGGAATGATGTAATGTCTTTAGATAAAAAGTAATTAATAGGAAATCAAAGATTAGCAGAGTTTGATGCTGACGTATCAAGGTTACCAAGGGGATTTAAAGTAAAAAAAAAAAAGTTTACATATAACTGTAATTGTTTTCTGTAAAGAACACAATAAATGTATGAAATATAATAGCTAAACAGCCTCTAATTATTCAAAATACATAAATACATATAACATTATTTTTAAAGTGAAACAGGAAATCAAAACAGCATTAGCCATTACCGATATTTCCATCAAGAATTCTTTGCACATTAAATTCCAGAGCAAAAAAAAATTAATTCCAGTGCAAAAAAAATTATATCTAATCTTTTCCACTTTCATGATTTCGAAAAAATTGTATAATATGTGAGGGTTGTCCCAATATTCTGTGACAAGATTGATTAAAAGCTAAATAAAATAGGTACGAATTTGATATTTTAATATGTTATAAACCCATATAATTTAAACATTTTCACAAATTTTCATAGATAATTATCAACAAACAACAAAAATATGCCATAAACACCATGGCAATTAACTGAATCGCGGCGCACGTCCAACGTCAAAGACGGCGTTAAATCAATATAAGGCGCCTTTCTCAAATACTCTCAATGGCTTTCAACGCAATAATGGTACCCATAAATCGTCAATTTCTGACTTAAATCATGTGGTTGTTAATGTCTGTTGAATGTTTGGATGGCATACATTAATTTTTGCTATATGCGAACTTCCGGTCTCGTTACTCCTGTTTTTAGCTGTAGGAAATAGGCGACGAAGATTCCTATCCGTGTTTTCCTTATTTTAGCTTTTTGTAGCGCAAAGCTCTGGTTCCGTTCATGCCTTTTGTACACAAATGCTCAGAATATGTTGCTACACTGTTATATTTGGTATATTTGTTGAAAATCGTTACATGTGTCATCTCGAAATAGTCATGAAACCTGAGTGACATGTTCACTGCGCCGCAAATTCTTCGAACGTCGCCATTTTAACTTTCCTATTTTATATGAAATATTTTCATTTATTCGTATCTTTTCGTTTTTTAAGTTATTAATCTAAAATTTTCAGAGATGATTTAAACATAGCAGCAGAGGAAGTCAACGTGACATTGTGCAGACACATCATCAGATATTTGAAATATACGTAATTAATTTCAGCCTATTCATAACAAAATGTAAATTATTTGACGTGCGCCGGCAACTCAAACCAATGTCGTTAATACTGAAAATTTCTAAGTAACTAGGGTAGATTTTTTGTAAATGATTTGTTGTAATGTTAAATAATAAACTTAACGGTTATATTTGTGAATTATTTTCTATTGGCGTTAAAAAAGAACCGGCTATAAAATTTGTCACGGACTTTTGGGACAACCCTCGTATGATTAAAATATGAATAAATTACAGATGTATAATAACATATAATGCTAACCATGTCACTAATTTCATTTACGAAATTGTATATAAATTTGGATGTAGCACATTTCAGACACAAGTCATGTAGTACTTGTAATTTATCTTTGTTTTAAACATGAAAATAGCAAATTATAGCAAGGTTTTCGATAGGTAGATATTTTTGGTCCAAAAGCCCTGCTTTTTCTCGGTGGCTGGAAATATGGCATGTATGAGTTTTTTCATCATTGATTCATGTAGGAATATAACTCAACTAATATATAATAGTTGAGATTTTTCACAGGGACTCCAATGGGGCAAAGATAACAAACTTTCCCAGAAGCAAATAAAAAAACGATAATCAAAAAAATGAAATTTATTCTACCCTACACAAGACTTTGGCAATCTGAGAAATATCATATGCAAAATGCAAAAGTTAAGCAACCATTGTCAGTATAGAGCCTGTACATACTTCACAAGTGTGCAGGTTGGCCTGACTCCATACTGTATCCAAAGTAACTAGCCAATAGATATACAATTATGTGGATACGAAACAAGCACTGTTTTTTTTTTGTTATATTACCTGCCCATTTCAAGAGCATTCAGTTTTTCAATTCCAGCTTTGACTCTGTTAAGGTCGTCACACCAGATTCCAATCTTATCCACCTTCTTCGCCCTGTTTGGTACATCTTCACGGATTTCTAAAGGCTTTTCATAAAATAAATCAACTAGTAACACATTATTACGGCAAATTCATAAAAACTGAAATTTTAAAACATTCAATAATCCATATCATTTCAAAGAGAAGGTTATTTCAAGATATATAGAGTACCATCTTTACAAATTTTATGACCATTTTTTACTCACTTATATGACATTTTCTCAAAGTACCATCTTTACTCTGTTATATGATACTTTCTCCAAGTACCATCTTTACTCGGTTATATGATTTTTTCTTTATATAAAATTTTCTCCCAGTACCATTCTATCTGGTTATATGAGTCTTATAGAGTCCAATCTTTACTTGCTTTCATGACATTTTCTCCCATTCATTTTAGAGGAGTTACACATACAATACATGTCATCATCAAAGCAGATTATGGAAGTACACAAATAAAATATGCCAGACATAGCAAAAGTCTATATTTTTGTTGAAAATCTTTACTGCATATCTTAACTATAAACAGCCATGCAGTAATGAATTCAGACCATGTTTTTTGATATGGTACCAGGACATATTTAGACAGGAGCACTGCATGAGGTGTTAATGTTAAACTGTTAAAATAACCAATTTTGACAAGAAATCAAAGTTAAAAGAGGGGCATACCTTCAAAAATGTACCTTTCAGAATTATGTCCCTTGTTTAACAACTGCACCTTGTGAAGATAAGGCAAGTATTCCAAGTGTCATGCTGATAACTTTTAAATAATGAGCTACATTAAAGTTTTATGTATGATGATGACAACTACAACCACTGCCGCCTTCAACTATCAAAATAGCTTGACTTTTCTTTACTTTGAAATAGATAAGCTTAAAATTATATAAATACCACATAAGCAGCTTGAAGGGCACCAAGTGTCGCACATTTACCAGCCTCGGGGAACGTCTTGTCAATTGGTCTAACAAACAAAGGCCACTTGCTTCCTGCCTTCATTGCTCTGAAAAAATTTCAATGTTAATATAATACTCTAATAAGTACAGAACTTATAGTGCCAACATCAAATGATAAGAATTTTTTCCTTCAACTTTCTGGGGGACCTTGCACATTAATTGACATTTCCTATCCAGGGCACTTAAATGCCCCCAGTCTAAAAATGCATCATTTGACATTTGCCCCCTGATGGAAATGAAAAAATGGACACTTACCCCCTCCCCCCCTCCAGTTTGAAATTTGCTTAATGTATATCAAATGCACTCTTTAACTTACACATATATATATATCTTTATACATATATATATTTACATCAAATACATCATTAAGCATTTATTGTTGCATTTTCATTTACACATATGCTTGAGACTGCATTTGACATTCATTTTCAAAGCTGTGGAGGTAGGTGTGTAGCACAGTGTCCATCTTTACATTTAAAATGGGGGACAAACGTCCAATTATGCATTTTTAGACTTGGGATGGAGGGGGCAAATGTCCTGGATGCACTGCACCGCTTCTCAATAGTATGTAGCCAAACATAAATTTTAAGTCTAACTGAAATATTTGAAGTTTTCTGCGTCAGATAAATAATGATAAATTAAAGTTGGGCTGAAGCACAGATGTTTAAATGGAATATGAGTCTATTTCTATAATTATATTTCTATGTTTAATACAGGAGCTGATTGGCCCCTTAATCTATGTTTTGGCCCCTTAATCTATGTTAAATGAGTCTTTGATTTCTTTTGTTCTGTTTAGTTAGATTGCAACCCCCCTTCCCAACACACACCTCCCTATTTAGTTTATACTGACCAAACTGACAACAATAAATCTGTAACCCTCTGTCTATATCAGGGGAATAGTAGTAACTAACAAATTCTTAATTATTTCTTTTATATGAATGTGACAAATAAGGCAAAATAAGACAAAAGGCAAACAAGAGCCGGTTGAACCGGGTGATGCTCCCCGATTAGGTTTTGGACACAGGAAGGTATACCTCTTGTTGTGTCAGAGTTATGCCACAGACAAAGTTCAAAGTGTAAAAACAACCCAAATATTGTGCACAACACATTGTCTCAACATGATGATCATTTTTGTGAAATAGTTGTAAAATCCGACTTTAAATAACAAAGTAATGCGCCGGACATGATTTTGCTGCAAGGTCATGCTGTGACCTTGACCTTCAAGGTAGGGACCCAAATGTTGCACCGGACACAATGTCTCATTGTGGTGATCATTTCTGTGAAATAGTTGTAAAATCGGACTTCAAATAATGAAGTTATGGGCCAGCCATGAATTCAGGACGTACGTCAAATTTTTGGGGAGCATAAAAATAACTTCACAAATAAAGAAAATAAACAAAATATGCACAACAAATTACCACAACAATAGAAAGAATGCTTCATGAATTATTGTTTTGTTTATATTCTATCAAAAATAGCTTTTGAATTGTGTGGCTTTAGATATATAAACAAAAACAGATGAGAATAGATAACTTGAACAAATGGCAAAAATGTTGTCTCAGCAGGCAAGAATGTTTATCTACTGAATTATCTAAAACTTTTAATATTTTTGGTCAAGTCAGAATCGAATAGCTTTCATGTAATACGTATAAATATGTTATATACCTTGAAAGAAAAATACTTCCTACAAAAAAATTCAAGGTCAAGATCAATTTAACGCCTTACTTTATTACCTAAAGTTATTACATAGTGACAACCATTACTGTTACAAAAAGCTAATCTTGAATCATACAAATCAAACTCATAGTGTACAGGAACATGTTATTATATGTTTATTTTATGGTGACAACCATAATCATACAGATATCAAAGTTAATCTTGAATCATACAAATCAAACTCATAGTGTACAGGAACATGTTATTATATGTTTATTTTATGGTGACAACCATAATCATACAGATATCAAGGTTTATGTTGAATCATACAAATTGAACCCATAGTGTACAGGAACATGTTATTATATGTTTATTTTATGGTGACAACCATAATCATACAGATATCAAGGTTTATGTTGAATCATACAAATTGAACCCATAGTGTACAGGAACATGTTATTATATGTTTATTTTATGGTGACAACCATAATCATACAGATATCAAGGTTTATGTTGAATCATACAAAGTGAACCTACAGTGGTGAAGAGCTAGTTATAACAACCATTATCATTTGCCAAAGTTAATCTTAAATCATACAAATCAAACCAACAGTGGCAAACAGCTAGTCATAATATAATATGATGACAACCATTGCTACATTGGGTTCAAACCCCATCAGGGGCAAGGCGTTGTTTTTTCGTGCAAGAAACAGCACTCAATGCTCAGAACTGGTTGGTTCAAGGAACGGATTCGAAAGTGTTTCTTTAAATACATAGCTTCCTACACAATCGAACTAAAATAAATTCTTTATGAACCAAAGAAATAGCGATAATGGGTATTTGCTGACAATCTTAACCATTTAGCATCAAACTTTACTATTCATGAAGAAACTAATATCATACCTTTTTATACCTTTATACCCGGCATCATAAAACCTCCTAACATCATCATAATCTCTGTCCAGAGGTCCAGTAGGTGACCATATCTATTTTAAAAATATAAATGAGCCGCGTCACGACAAAACCAGCATAGTGGGTTTGCGACCAGCAGTCTGATCAGGATCCATGCTGTTCGCTATAAGTTTCCCAACTTGTAATAGGGTTTGTAAGCGAACAGCATGGATACTGATCAGACTGCTCGGATACGCAGGCTGGTCTGGATCCATGCTGGTCGCAAACCCATTATGTTGGTTTTGTCATGACGAGGCTCAAATATCTTCTTATGCAAAAATGTATTGTATTATTTTGTAAGTAATCATTTTAAAAAAGTTTGTTTTGTTGGATTTTTAAGTCACACTTACACTGTGAAAAAAAATTGTTGCTTAGCAGGGTTTTACGTCAAACCAACAGTCTGTACAGATAATAACGTGACATTCAAGCTTTACTGGTGCTGGAAAACCTCAGGTGCTCCTCTATGCATTATTCTGAGCAATCTGATCAGGCTCTGTACTGTAGCTCATTTTTTTTCAATTTTGATATTGAAATCCCTTGAACTTTTGTATGGATTGCAGGGCATTTTTCCTTTCTATCACAGGGCAGTTATAAGGCCCTTTCACAATTCAAAATTGCACTTTTTTTCACAACGTGGCAAAAAAATTTCACAATTTCAAAAGAGATTTCACTAAATATTGGGACTTTGTATTCGAAATACATTGTTTACCTATGCCAATTTCAATAACACAGAAATAGTTTTAATCAAGTTAAATGGTTTTTGCACATGTGAACCGGTTTAATGTACTGACTTATAGCAGATTTTATACAGGTCAGATATTATAATCAACCGTTTCCGGTTTCAAAATGTTGCAAAATGCCAAGTAATATGTCATTTTTTTTTCACAATTTTATTACATATCTTTTTTATCGCGCTTTTTTTCACAAAATGAAAAGGCCCAGGCCCCTTCACAATTTTGACAAAAAATGACCTGATTGTTTAAAATTCAAACCAAAACAAATTAGCAGGGTTGGAGATTAACCACTGTAAAAAGATTACAATCATGTAACTTCTGGACCAGTCACCTTGGTGACTACTTTTATGACAAAGACTTTCATATTCAGTGCTACTTTTTCCCGGTGTTAAGTATCTTACATGCTTGAAACCATTATATTTATATTTTAAAACTCATGTTTGTCCTTTCTAAAGATGGAAAAATATATATCCATTTCTGAGGAATATTATAAATGTGCCTTTAATACAATATATAGCAACTTACTAGTCTTCCAGATGGTACCACATCAGTTTGTATCAGAACCACATCATCTATACTGTCCACCTGTACACAAACAAGAACAAAACAATAAATTACATTTTGTTTTTTAATTTCAATCAGTCAAAATGTAAGTTACACCTGTGACTTCTGGTGGTTTTCAAATTTAGTAAATATAGACATAAAACATTTGTAACCGCTTGTCTATTTAATCAGTGTTCTAAAACAGTTTCAATCATACTTGCCTTTTTTTTCACTTATAAATCAGTATACCCTGTCAAGCATATAGACAACCAAGATGAAAAATGGTAGGCAGGTGGGTTATTCTAGATTGTTGTAAACCTAAAAATTTCCTAAAAATAACTTATCTCTAAATAGCCATAACATAAGAGCCATAACTTAATAACCAATATGGGTAGGTTTTCTACGACATTCGGTGAACCTCATTTTTCTATAAATAGAAACAATGTTCATGTACATTCCTGCCAAGTTTAATGGAAATTATATAAAGTGACGCTAAAATATGAGATTGGGACGGAGGACAACATTACAATATCCTTCCAATATTATTGTCAATGGATAACAATTTTGAGAAGGGGTCATAGGTCAACACAATTTTGAAAAGGGGTCATAGGTCAACACAATTTTGAAAAGGGGTCATAGGTCAACACAATTTTGAGAAAGAGTCATAGGATAACACAATGAATGGATTTCTAAATGTATCCTTTCCCCATGGTGGTCTTCAACTAAGGTTTGACTGTTACGAGTTTCTGATGTAAATCTGATTTCGTGTAGAAAACTTTTAAGACATTCCTACACTGAAAGGTCACATGATTAAAACACTCCTACACAGAAAACATCAAATAATTAAGACACTCCTACAAAGTTAATATCAAACAAGAAACATGGCAATACCACGAAACCAGGTTTTCAATTATCTCCATTGTAGATAAATATGTTGTATTTGTAATACAAATGCAAGCAATAAACAATGTAACTTTGTGCAATGTAAAACATGAATAATGTAGGAGGAATTGCCACAGAAGAAGTGTTCACTGTATATTCTGTATAAGGAAAAAATGTATTCTGTATAAGGAAAAAAAACAAAGGGCCATAATTAGGTCAAAAATTATCCAATCACAAAACCTCTACAATATGCGCCAGGGCACATGATGACAAAGCTTCTGTGAAAGTTTGAACAAAATCTGTTGAGAAATGTAGGACTAGTTCAGCACAGAAGAATTTGTTCACTATATATTGATAATTCTGTATAAGGAAAAAAAACAAAGGGGCATAATTAGGTCAAATATTATCCAATCACAAAACCCTGACAATATGCGCCAGGGCACTTGATAACAAAGCTTCTGTGAAAGTTTGAACAAAATCTGTTGAGAAATGTAGGACTAGTTCAGCACAGAAGAATTTGTTCACTATATATTCTGTATAAGGAAAAAAACAAAGGGCCATAATTACATCAAATATTATCCAATCACAAAACCCCGACAATATGTGCCAGGGCACTTGATAACAAAGCTTCTGTGAAAGTTTGGTCAAAATCCGTTGAGAAATGTAGGAGGAGTTGCGCACAGAAGAAATTGTTCACTATATATTCTATATAAGGAAAAAAAACAAAGGGCCATAATTAGGTCAAATATTATCCAATGGCAAAACCCGGACAATATGTGCCAGGGCACTTGATGACAAAGCTTCTGTAAATGTTTGGTCAAAATCTGTAGAAAAATATAGGAGGAGTTGCGCACAGAAGAAATTGTTCACTATATATTCTATATAAGAAAAAACAACAAAGGGCCATAATTAGGTCAAATATTATCCAATCGCAAAACCCCGACAATATGTGCCAGGGCACTTGATTGATGACAAAGCTTCTGTGAAAGTTTGGTCAAAATCCGTTGAGAAATGATGGAGGAGTTGCGCACAGAAGAAATTGTTCACTATATATTCTATATAAGAAAAAACAACAAAGGGCCATAATTAGGTCAAATATTATCCAATGGCAAAACTCCGACAATATGCGCCAGGGCACTTGATGACAAAGCTTCTGTGAAAGTTTGGTCAAAATCCGTTGAGAAAATGTAGGAGGAGTTGCGCACAGAAGAAATTGTTAACGCCCACCCCCCGCCCGCCCATCCGCCCGCCGACATACCTCAATCTAATAACCAGTTTTTTCCTTCGGAAAACCTGGTTAATTATTAAGACACTTCTACACAGTAAATATCATTTAATTAAGATGCTCCTACACAGTAAACATCATATAATTAAGACACTCATACAGAGTAAACATCACATAATTAAGACACTCATACAGAGTAAACATCATATAATTAAGACACTCCTACACAGTAAACATCATATAATTAAGACACTCATACAGAGTAAACATCATATAATTAAGACACTCATACACAGTAAACATCATATAATTAAGACACTCATACAGAGTAAACATCATATAATTAAGATACTCATACACAGTAAACATCATATAATTAAGACACTCATACAGAGTAAACATCATATAATTAAGGCACTCATACAGAGTAAACATCATATAATTAAGATACTCATACACAGTTATCATCATATAATTTAAGACACTCATACACAGTAAACATCATATAATTAAGGCACTCATACAGAGTAAACATCATATAATTAAGGCACTCATACAGAGTAAACATCATATAATTAAGGCACTCATACACAGTAAACATCATATAATTAAGGCACTCATACACAGTAAAGATAACATTATCAATGCAAAATGGCACCTAAACAGTAAAGGACACTGTAAACATGTGTACTTTTAACATTTAATTTGATGCCAGCATGCTAAATGTTTATTACTCCATATTAACACAACAATTAGCATCATTAGTCAAAACAAAAAGTCAATATACTCACAGTCATTGGACCATTTTGTTTTATGTAAAAAAGCAGGACTCGATCTAAAAGTATTTTACATCGATAACTAATATTTGAGAAAAATATAGAACAGTTGAAGCTTATAAATGTTCCTAGAAAAAAAGGGAGCCAAATCACTAGAAAAAAAGGGAGCCAAATCAATCAGTTTTATCACAGAATTTTCAAATTATTTTCTCCCTTTAATGTCTATTTTATGGTTAAAGAAAATGTGTGACATTTTTATGGTTAGCCTTTTGACTGTAAGGGGAGATAATATCAGACACTTTTGACTGTAAGGAAAGATAATATCAGAAACTTTTGACTATGAGGGGAGAAAATGTCAGAAACTTTTGACTAAAAGGGGAGGTAATGTCAGAAACTTTTGACTGTAAGGGGAGATAATGTCAAAAACTTTTGACTGTAAAAGTGATAATGTCAGAAACTTTTGACTGTAAGGGGTGATAATATCAGAAACTTTTGACTAAAAGGGGAGATAATGTCAGAAACTTTTGGCTGTAAGGGAAGATAATGTCAGAAACTTTTAAATGTATGGGGAGATTATATCAGAAACTTTTGACTATAAGGGGAGATAATGTGAGAAACTTTTGACTGTAAGGACGTTAATGTAAGAAACTTTTGACTGTAAGGGGAGATAATGTCAGAAACTTTAGACTGTAAGGGGAGATAATGTCAGAAACTTTTGACTGTAAGGGGAGATAATGTCAGAAACTTTTGACTGTAAGGGGAGATAATGTCAGAAACTTTTGACTGTAAGGGGAGATAATGTCAGAAACTTTTGACTGTAAAAGTGATAATGTCAGAAACTATTGACTGTAAGGGGAGATAAATGTCAGAAACTTTTGATTGTAAGGGGAGATAATGTCAGAAACTATTGACTGTAAGGGAAAACAATGTCAAAGACTTCTGACTATAAGGGGAGAAAATTTCAGAAATTTTTGACTGTAAGGGGAGATAATGTCAGAACTTATTGACTGAAAGGGGAGATAATGTCAGAAACTATTGACTATTATAAGGAGAGATAATGTCAGAAACTTTTGACTGTAAGGGGGGATAATGTCAGAAACTTGACTGTAAGGAGAGATAATGTCAGAAACTTTATACTGTAATGCAAGATAATGTCAGGCAAAGGCATTCTGTGTAGCAAAATTTACCTGGAAACTTAAAACAGTAGAACCTTATATCGGGATGGGTTTGTTTTTTTTTTTTAGATAATCAAATTATGCTTTACAGTAATTATTGATAAAATTTCAAGTCTTGTTCTCTAAACTGAGTTTTAGAGCCAGACTTTACTTCACAAGGGTTAATTTGCAAAACGAAACATATATAATGCCACCTTAACAGTGTTTAGAGTTTAGAAGGTACAAATTTCTTGATTATTTTTTTTGGAGCTAAAGTAGAAGGGTAGAATATGAAGTGGTTGAACACTTGGTTCATTTAGTGTATCCAGTCTGTTCCTCAGATTGAATTGCTTACAACTCAGGAATGTTTGTTCCTCAAACTGGCTTGCCGCTGAGGATTGTCTGTTCCTCAGAAATGATTGCCACTAGGTAATGTAGGTAATGTCTGCACCTAAGTCTAGATTGTCTGTGCCTCAGAAATGATTGCCACTAGGTAATGTAGGTAATGTCTGCACCTAAGTCTAGATTGTCTGTTCCTCAGAAATGATTGCCACTAGGTAATGTAGGTAATGTCTGCACCTAAGTCTAGGATTGTCTGTTCCTCAGAAATGATTGCCACTAGGTAATGTAGGTAATGTCTGCACCTAAGTCTAGATTGTCTGTTCCTCAGAAATGATTGCCACTAGGTAATGTAGGTAATGTCTGCACTAAGTCTAGATTGTCTGTTCCTCAGAAATGATTGCCACTAGGTAATGTAGGTAATGTCTGCACCTAAGTCTAGATTGTTCTGTGCCTCAGAAATGATTGCCACTAGGTAATGTAGGTAATGTCTGCACCTAAGTCTAGATTGTCTGTGCCTCAGAAATGATTGCCACTAGGTAATGTAGGTAATGTCTGCACCTAAGTCTAGATTGTCTGTGCCTCAGAAATGCAAGCATCTCAGTCAGATGTCTATTCCTAAAACCTTCTAAAATCTGGGGAATGTTTGACCTTCAGACCTGCTTACCACTGAGGATTGTCTGTGCCTAAGAAATGTTTACCAATGGTGAATATTTGTTCCTCAGAAATGCTCATTATTTGGAATTGTCCCTCTAACCTTTTTTAATGGTCTATATAATTATAAAATATATCTTACCTTAGCATAATTTTCTATCGGTGCTTTGAGACATTCCAAATTTCCAACTAACTTTTCAACCTTGTCTGTTACAACTATCACACTGTCATATGCAGTGTCCTTCACATCAAGGTTGGGTATCAACGCTGGAACACTGTAAGAGAAGAAATTTAAAGGTCAAGGTCAACACAATAATAAACAAGAGTTGTTCATAAGGCAGCCGGCTCAACTATTCTCAGTGCTTGACAATAATAAAAGAGGCATAACTCTGTTAAAAGGTACTTCAGAGTCATGGAAAGTGTGCCCAATATGCTAGATAATTACAAATTCTGCCAGTTCCCTTCAATAGTTTTGGAGAAACCAACTTGCAAACAACAACTTAATTAAAGAGTGATGACGATGCAGATGATGGAGTGTGTACAATACTGAATAGCTCTCTCTATTCTTTGAATTGTCAAGCTAAAAATAATAGGGGTTGTTATATTTTTCTGGTCATTGCGAATCATTGATTCCAGTACTTTTAAGTGTTGAAAATTGAGTACCGCTTAAGCAGGTGCTAGGGGGCAGTTGTGGCTCAGTTGTCAAATCAAAGATAATGTAACTTCAAAGATTTGAACTCATAGATTCGAACACTACATTCTGTAATTATTCTTTTCTCTTTGCATCTTTTTTTTTATTTATTTTGTCTTTCTGTTATATTTTGTTGATATAATGTTGTTAATAGTTTGTTGTTTATACATTCATTGTAACTGTATGTAATATGTACATTATGAGAGAGGCTCAAAGGGGAGACTGGGCTTGCCTTACTGTGTTTCCTCTTTAAAAAAAAGTCGTTATTATTATAATGATCATTTGAATATTTATTCTAAATTTCTACTTCATTTATTTCTCTTTTTTTCTTTTTAATTTCATTTATTTTGTACCCATCAATATAAAAAAAATTCTGGTTTTTTTTTCATTTAACATTTTATAAATTAAACTTTAAAATACTATGATTATAAAATATTCATGATATGAATATAGGGATCAAAATATAACATTCTTTATTTCATTACAAGGATCAAAATATAACATTCTTTATTTCATTACAAGGATCAAAATATAACATTTTTATTTCATTACAAGGTTCCTTATTTCATTACAACCTTTACATTTCTAATAATGTAGTCAGTTTTCTTTTCACTTTCCTCTGGATAGTTGACATTTTGCTTGACCTCTACACAAGTGCATATTCAATTAATGTTGGTATAAAAAACTATTCTTATGAAATGTACTTCAAACAAAACAAACCATACTTGTGTCATAACAATTAAGATTTTTTTATTTTTTTTTGAAAAAGAAACTTAAAATACTAAATACATATTTTTTACTTAATCATGGTTCAAACACGTAAATACATAATTACAACACTTACACAGGCTCACAGATGCTCTGCCTGTTGTGCTATGTAGGCACATGAAAACCTGACATTTCAAATCACATTTTATTTATGTAACTAAAATCTGCCATACCTGTTGTTTTTTTTGCATTGTTATTGAATTTTGTTATGTAAACAAAGGTTCAAGTTACCATCCAAGGACAGTTGATTCAAGTAAATCAAAAACGTGTTTGTTAAACACATGCCCCAAGCTAAGATTCTTGTCAGTAAGAATTTTCCAAAAAAGGTTTACCCATTCACTCAGTTATCGGACAGAAAAATTGCAAAAAAATTGTAAATAAATGTTAACATTCATAGCATTTTGTAATGTGAAAAATATAAGTTGGCAAGTCATTGCTATGACTTGAGATGAAGTTGAAAAATATTCAACTTAGCAATTAAACTTTATCAAATATATATATAAATGCAAGACCTTGACCTTGAACCTAGAGACCCCAAATTCCATCAAAACTTAAAGGACAAACTTAGGTTTGTTCCATGTAAATATGAGAAATTGGTAATTATTTTTACAAAGGTTGTAAAAAAGTGTGAAAACTATTGTTAGCACAAATGAGCAAATGTATAGAAATCTATTTTTGCACCCCTGATCTTGATCTACTGACCCCTAACTCAATCCAAAGGAATAAGATCATGCAAGATATCTTCTTCCCAAATATGAAAGACATCTGTCTATAAATAAAGGCTGTATTGGCGTAAGTGTAAAAATCTATTTTTACCACAGGTGACCTGGATCCAACTGATCCCTACATCAGTCCAAAGGAAGAAGACCATGCAAGTTATCATCCTTTCAAATATGAGAAACATCAGGCAAAAAAAAGAGACTGTTTAAGCAAATGTGTAGAAATCTATTATTGGCACTATTGACCTTGACCCACTGACCCCTAGCTCAAACAAAAGGAAGAATATCATGCAAGTAATCTTCCTGGCAAATATGAAAGACATAAATAAAGGCTGTGTTGGTAAAAGAGTAAAAATCTATTTTATTCATTAATAAGTAGAGCGTTGGACTGGAGTATGTTTCCAAGACGGTGCAGGTCACTTTCGTTGTGACTGATCATGAAATCTTTTCTACAGTACTTCAAAGTGTACCTCTGCTCTGGCATGTATAGAAGTTTTTAGTTCCTTGCAAAAGTTGAGGCAACTAGTACTGGTAAACTGCTTGACAGTCTGCACAGGAATGATGTGGAAGCTGAACTGTGTTCTGGTTATTTCAATGAGTGATCCTGAGTGAAAACTACCATTACACCACCACAGTTTAGTAAAAATGATAAAAGCGGATGTAATAAACAGAAAAATAAATAAGTCCACGTAAATATGAACAATTAAAGAAAAATACAATAAAATAAACAAAGTTATTTAATCTATCTAGTCTAGTAATGATTTGTAAAACACAAACCTTATTTCTAAAGACATCATAAAAGTAGTTCCTTTCTGAAAGGAATGATATTACTACACTGATTTTAGATAACACCTAAAATACCTGTGAACCCATTTTGCAATTTAACACCAAAAATTCTATATAAAGACACACACAATGTTTCATAAGACAATAACTAGTTTTATGTGAAACTGAAACTACATGTACTTAATTTAAATACACAAAATGTTTTAAGGATCAGTTAGTTAACCTGGAATTGTAAACTAGTCAATTTTCATTTTCTAATAAATAAATATAACCAACCTGGTGTTGATGTGTTGTCTCCCTTCTTAAAACCTTTTAATCAATTGTATTTTCATTTTTGATTGCAAGAACTACATACATGTACCTTAAAGGCCTGAGAATGGATGTAAGGGTTTAAAATGTGTGCAACAGTATAGAGACAGGCCAGCCTGAACATCTATGTAATGATATGCTACAGCTACTATTGCACAGAACCCTCATATCAGGATATTTTCGTTTCATTTTTCTATCTGTTCACTCAAAAAATACATTAATGCATCTCAAAGTTTGAAGCTTTGAAGTTGTAAATGTGTAAAAACAATTCCTGTCTGTAGATTTTCCAGTCTGTCTGGAAAAACTCTGGAAAATAACTGAATTTTCATGAACTTTCATGGAAATATTAGCTAACTTCCATAGTAATTACAGAGTACTCGAGATCTGGAACAATTTTCATGGAGAACTCTGGAACTTGACTTTTTCTTCAAAAGAAATAATCATGAAACAGTTCTGGAAACTCTGGAAAGTGGAAACTTAGACAATTTTCAAGGAGTTTTACTCTGGAAAAAACACTTTATCATTTCTGTGAAAGTTTTGAACTTAAGAAGTTTTCATTGATTTCTGCATTTCCTTCACTAATACAAGGCCGTCGTCGATGGTCCGGCCGGTCCGGCCTTGGCCGGACCAATATTTTGGCCAAAAATGAGAAAAAAACAAAACAAAAAAAAACACGCATCGCTGATAAGCAATTTGGCACTTAACTGGCCCCTTATGCAGTGCGCGGTAATATACCAACATGACTCGAAGAAACAACAGGACACAAGAGAAAGGCGCCCACACGATTCGAGATGGGGCACGATGTTGGCTACCACCCCGTAACTTTGAAGCAATCGATCCTGCCATCGCCAGTGTTAAAGAGTTATTTGACCAACCGGGATATCGCGTAATTCAAACGTACGTATATAGGCCGCACAACGTTTGAAGACCGAGTCCACTAGAGAACATGGTTCTGTGGTAACGATATTATCCGAGACATCTTATAGATGCGCAGCTTCAGCTGCTACGTTCACATTTTGCCAAATCAGTAAATAGTACTGTTACTCTACCCGACATTTTGAAATTTGAGTCAGAACAGTCGGTGCTAGATTTTGTTAGTAATGCTTGCTACTAATGCTACCAGTGAAAGGACATTCTCGGCGTTCAGAAGAATTAAAACATACCTGAGATCGACAATGTCTCAAGTTAAAATCCACTCAACTTACGTGTAATTGCCGATGAGTTCATTACTACCAGAGAATGACGGCGATGTGTTTTTGGAAAATTTACATAAAATGAGACTCTGTGTTGTGTAAGATTATTGTTAACAAAATACAAGTTACTGCTAAACAAAAAGTGGTTATTGTTGACTCGTTATGTACTATTCTTCCATCATGTCATCGATTGTTATTTAAGCTTATACCATTGTGTGATTTATGCTAAACAATAATCCACGTACTGTAATATTTCTTTTATTTGTTTATTTATAATCATCAGATAAAAATGCATCTAAAGAATTATAATAACATCAGTTATTGTTTATTTTTCATTTGCCAAATATCAGTTACATGCATTCATCTTTTATGTACACCTGTACGTCCGTCATGCGAACCTTAAATTTCACCCTTAAAACTTACGACGCACTTAAATCTGTAAAAAATCGTTGACATATTACTATAACATGTACTAGCGGTAGGCTGTAAACTGTGCCAAATATACGGGAAAACGCCCCTGAGAGCATCCTAGAATAATTTTTTTTCCGGGGGAGCATGCCCCCGTACCCCCCTAGATTCTACCTAAAAACAATCAAATTGGCCGCACCAATCACAAAATCGTGACGACGGGCCTGTAATACATTTAACTTTGATATTTTTCCCTAAGTTGGCCTGTATAATTTTGTTTACTATAAATTATAATGACACTTTGTTTTCTGGTTTTAAGACATAAAATAAAGACAATTAAAAACATGTCATTTAACACACAATTGTACATCTTTGACCAAAACATCACTTTAATTACTTTAAGTTCTAAGATTGGTCATATAATACCATATACATATGTACTCACTGTAGTTAGCAAAATAAACACTTAATAGATAAACAAAATGAAACTGTAATAATCTCCTTATCTGAGATGCTGCAGTCCCATATCAAAAACAAATAAAATAAATAAAGTTATTAATTGTTACCTAGCTTTTACAAATAATTTTAAATCACAAACCTTATTTGGAAAGACATCATAAAAGTAGTTCCTTTCTAACAAACGATATTACTACACTGATTTTTAAAGACACCCAAAAACTTGTGAATATGCAATATGAAACCAAAACTACTTTATAAAGTCACATGCAATATTTCATAAGCCAATTAATTATGTGAAAGTAAAACTACTTTACTTAATTACCTGCATGAAATATTTCTAAGAATATTACTAAAATAAATTATGTTATACATTTCACTGATTGAGCAAACTAGCAAAAATGTTTGCATTAAATAATTAGTAAATGTTTATGCTTGTGTGGCTCTGGTTTGCTTATTTTAAGAATATCAGTAAAATTTAGTAGTGTATTAAAGGAGAATTGTTTATGTCAACCAAAACTTGTCTACTTTCATTTTTGTTTGGTGCGGGAGAAGCAGTGGGTGTGTGGGGAGGGCTTTGGTTGGTTACTTATTTTTGTGGACATGAAATTTCGTGGTTTTGTCACAAAAAACATTTTCTTTGGTACTTAAATTTGTAGACTGTTTTTACCAAAGGTAAAATGTAAATTTATATTATAATGTGATGCAAAATAATCTTACAGCGGACAAAATATTTGATGAAATTCACAGAGACTTGACAATATTAAATTTCATCTAGAAATCAAAAGCATTCAGAATGTATGGAGCACGCCATTTTGTTAAATGGACAGTGCCATTTTGATATCAGGAATTAAATACTTTAAATTTCAAGGTAAACACAGTTACTAGCAGCAGACGATAGGAAACAGTATAATTGTGATCATTGAACAAAAGAAGCAAAGTTTGGAGAAAAATGAAAAATATCTTATTATTCATCACACTTTGTATCTGAACTATCATATAAACGTTATTTTGCGTGTTTAAATTATTTCTTCTTTTTCAGTAAAATTTACACTGTGCTGAGCCCCCCTTCAAATCAGACGAGTCTATTTGTTTATTGCATTGTATGGTCTATTTCAAGGTTAAATCATCCCAAATGACTGGAAGAACTATCCCTAATAACTGGAAGAAAGCCAATGTTTCCTCAGTCTACAAGAATGGCAGCAGATATAAACCAGAAAACTATCGCCCTATCTCCCTTACCTGCATCTGCTGCAAGCTCCTAGAGCACATTGTCACCAGCCACATCATGAACCATGCCGAAAAACAGGAGATTCTTTATCCTCTCCAACATGGCTTCAGAAAGGGCAGATCCTGTGAAACATAGCTTCTTGAATTCATAGATGACATAACCCGGAACATGGAAAATGGCAAACAGACTGATGTTCTCATCATGGACTTCGCCAAGGCCTTCGACAAGGTATGCTACAGCCTCTTATCCCGCAAACTGGAGCACTATGGCATCAGAGGCAAGACCAACCTGTGGATTCAGGCTTTCCTAAGCAACAGATCCCCATCTGTAGTCTTGAAAGGGGTAAACTCAGATACAGCATCTGTAGAATTCGGCATCCCACAGGGCTTAGTCCTTGGCCCAAGTCTGTTCCTTTTCTACATTAATGACATCCAAGAGGGTCTCAATGCAGTCGTCTGACTATTTGCAGATGATATGCTGGCCTATTTTGCCATCACCAACAAGTCTGACTGTTCCACCCTACAAGCTGACCTCGACAAACTAGCTGTCTGGGAAGAGAAATGGAAAATGTATTTCCACCCAGACAAATGCCAAGTCCTCACCATCTCCAAGAAAAGAAGCCCCATCTGCCACAACAACACTCTTCATGGTCATACTCTAGAGCATGTCACATCAGCTAAATACCTTGGATGCACCCTGAATAACAACCTAGACTTGGGCCAACATATGAGACGCGTCACGACAAAACCAACATAATGGGTTTGCGACCAGCATGGATCCAGACCAGCCTGCGCATCCACGCAGTCTGATCAGGATCCATGATGTTCACTTACAAACCCTATAACAAGTAGAAAAACTGATAGGGAACAGCATGGGTCCTGATCAGACTGCGCGGATCCGCGCAGTCTGGTCTGGATCCATGCTGGTCGCAAACCCATTATGTTGGTTTTGTCGTGACGCGGCTCATTATAAATAACATCTGTAACAAAGCCAACCGTACCACCAGCTTCCTGCGAAGAAACCTTAATATAGCGCCTATACTTCCACCAAAGAAATGGCCTACAAAGCTGTAGTCTGCCCCACAGTGGAGTATGCAAGCACTGTCTGGGACCCCCAAGAGAAGGATGGCATACAACGTCTAGACATGGTCCAACCAAGTGCTGCACGTTATAATAAGAACAAGTTTCACAATAGGTCCAGCATCACAGACATGCTTGCAGACCTGGAATGGAAATCACTAAAAGAACGTTGTAAGGAGGCCAGACTGATCATGCTCTACAAAGTCATCAACAAGGTCGCTCTAGACAACTCACAACTCATACCCTCCAACTCCACAACTACAAGAAATACACAGAACCTATCCTACAAGATCCCCTACTGCCGTACACAATACCGTCAACAATCCTTCTTCCCACGCACCATCAAAGACTGGAACAGCCTCCCACAGGATGCTACGTCAGCCGGTACAGTTGAGTCATTCCGTACTCATCTGTCCCAACTCTATATCTAAACCACACTCTTTTCCGTTTTTAACCTGCACTGTATATATTCCTCACTATTTTTACTCTTTCTTTCCCTCTTGCGCATTAACCTGGCAGTTAACTTCAGTCAGTTGAAGGTGGCCAGTATATTGGAAGAAGAAAAAGAAGAATTGGCCGGTCAATTATAGCCCATTTCAAGTCAAAGGAAAATACACCTGGATGATTACTGCTGATTTATTTTCAGCTTATATACATGTACATGGACTCCTGTTTACAATTATGCATATTTATAATAACATTGTACAGTTGTACATGTACATGTAGTGTTGCTTTAAAACAAATTTTGGTAAGCTAAACTTGTAACAGACTGATGTTTCCTCACATTTTAGCGTCGAATAAAATTTCGTAAAAAAGAGATAGATGAAGTGTCTGTCATGTGAAATGTCTGGAAAAATTACTTAATTGGGCAGAAGGGCAATGTTCAACACGTCTAGGCGTAACCGGCAGCGACACATTTAACTCTACTCTGACACACTGTGTTAATGACACACTTGTAGCTCTAGTCAGAGGATTGCCAATTATAGATGAGTAAATTTTTGTAACATTAAAACATGTTGTCATTAACTACTAAGCTGTATTTTTACCGAGAAGCAAATAAAATTTTCGCATTACCTGGGCTGCGCCATTTTGTCCAAAAGTATCGGAATCACATGACACAACTGTGAACTCACATTGTATTGGTTAAAATCTACAACGTTCTATTCCCTGATTGGTTAAAACATTTCTAGGGGGTCAAATATGAGGTCACAAAGGCTTGAAAGATAACAAATTTTGACACAGAAACCCCGGATTAAAGATGAGGTTAATGCAATTTATACGAAATGGCATGCAATATATTGGATTGGAACTGAAACAAGGGGGTGATTTACTCAACTTAAACCAGGCAGATCCAAAAATCCCCTCTGATTTGCGTACATTTATCGAGGGGGGAAGTGACCTATGGAAAGCGGCTGCAAGGTAATTTTTACTATGAATATGGGTTAGTACCATCATTGTGTGAAATATATATATTTTTAATTGATTTATATAAATTTTGTAATTTACTTATTTATTTATATGTTGTCACGATGTTTGTTGATGAAATAACTTGATCTAATTATGAACTAATGGATTTATTATACATATATTATGTACAATTATTCTTATGTTAAGCAGGTAAGTTTTCTATTATCTTATCTCTGAAATTATGCACACACACATCCATTTTTAATGTCATTGCTGTAAGTTGAGACTATGCCTTGTGTGACCCAGATTAAGCATTAAAGTGTGAGGAGTGACCCTCAAATCTGGACAATTACTGTTAGGCAAAAATTTAACGCTATAGCCTTATATAACTTTGCACGAGTGAGCCTCCATCAATTTGAAGTAAGATATAAAATATGATTTGAAGAAAAAATGCATACCTTAAATTGGAAAGCATTAATTATGATCATATAGTATGCTGCCCATGCCAGAAACTGTCATTAACAAATCTAACACAAATAATCTTCAACAGAGTCGATGAGGATTACAAATCTACACAATGTTATGAAATTAATTTATGGCATAATTTTCAAGGAAATCACTAGACATGTATCTTTACAGTATCTTCTTTTACTTGATACAGAGCTCATATAAGCACATTATTTAAAAATGGAGATGTGTGACCCTGATGAGGTCCAGCAGACCATTATCAAATTTTGCTTTTGTGCTGAATGACACCTTAATTTAGTCATGCTAAAAAAGTGAGGAACTGTGGAAAAGTCCCAGAATGATTTGCGAGCATTACCATACAATTGTCAGAAGAAATATTTAACAGGTTTGACATGAGAAAATAGCAAAAACAGGAATTTATGACTGAGAATAATTGACTGTGCTGAGAATTTTGAAAGAATTTTGTATGTCTCATATATTTAGTATATATAGGTGGCTTAACACAAACACAATGCATTCTTTGAAAAGCTACTCACTATGATTGCTGCATTGTCAGGGTTGTTGTTGTTATACAAAACCTTTAATGTAGCCTATTATTCAAACATTTTAAAAGTTATCATCATGAAACTTGGAATGCTTATCATGACAAGGTTCAGTTGTAAGACAAGGGGCATAATTCTGAAAGCTGTTTTTGGAGTTATGCCTCATTTTCTTTTAAAAGAATTTTTGTCAAAGTTTAATACATGTATTTATGAATGTTGCCGTTAACACCACATGATGTGCTCTTGTTTCAGCTTGTCATCTAGAACTGACTGCATTGTGAAGAGAGACAGTGTGAAGTTACTAGCTCCAGTAACATCATGTGATAAAGTGTTATGTATTGGAATGAACTATATAGATCATTGTGAAGAACAGAATGCTCCAGTACCTGTAGAACCAGTCATCTTCAACAAGTTCCCTAGCTGTATAATTGGCCCGAATGATAGCTTAACATACCCTAGAGAAACAGAGGTATGCCTTAATGATATACTGTCCTCATCTGTAAAATAATTTAAGTGCAGAAATGAACTGAAGTCTAGGGTATTCTTACTGAATATGTCTAATTTAGATAAAAGAATGTATAAACTATGTTTAGGAAGCTGCATTCCCTATTACTGGTCAAGTTAATTTGGTTCCACCTTTAAAAACCGCCACTTGTTTTTAAATGACACTACATACTTATAATGTGTCAATCTAGTATAGTGTGTTGACTTAAAAAGGTAAAATATCTACTCTGTGTGTATTCAAAAGAAGATATTTTACATTTGACTATGAACAAATTTTCTGTATTTTCAAATATCAAATTTGAGCATTTTATAAATATATCTTCAATTTAATGGTTGAATTTTGGTACAATTTGATAAAGACATAGTTTGTGTCCAGGCATTAACATAATAACTCACTGTAAAAATTAATTTGTGTGAAGATTCTAAATGATGTGTAGGATATGTACCAGTACACTGGTATCATTTAAACTATTTGTCATCACTCCAAGAATTTTGGGAATTCAGGAAATCTGATCATAAGACACTATTGATTTATTCAGGGGAATATAGATAGACATATTCTCATATATCAACATATAACACATATATCAACATACATATGAGCCGCGTCATGACAAAACCAACATAGTGCATTTGCGACCAGCATGGATCCAGACAAACCTGCGCATCAGGATCCATGCTGTTCGCCTACAAACCCTATTACAAGTAGAGAAACTGAAAGCAAACAGCATGGATCCTGATCAGACTGCGCGGATGCGCAGGCTGGTCTGGATCCATACTGGTCGCAATCGCATTACGTTGGTTTTGTCATGATGCGGCTCATATAAAACACACAAAAATGCAAAAGAAATACAATAAATTAAGTACAAAATGTACTATGTTTTATATTACCCTAGGATTGCCCACTAAGTTTTACTGACTACAAGGCCAAATCCCCATGATTTTAACAAAATTTGGACCTACAAATCCTGAGGGTCACATCAGGCCTTTTGGAAATTTGAAGGGTCAAAGAGTCATTTCAAGGGTCAAACGGACACCCTGATATAAGATTCAATTACATATGTTAGCATTATAAAGGAAATGCTAAGTTTTGTATGCTCTTGTAATGTTTATTTCTTAATTAATAAACATTGTTCCATTTAATTTACAGTGTTTGGACTGGGAAGTGGAAATGGTTATAGTTATCGGGAGAGAAGCCAAAAATGTTCAGGTATTATTTTTATAGCACATAACAATATTATTAGCTTAGCTCATTAAGCATAGCTGCAATAGATTTTACACATGTGCCCAGTGCAGACCATACTCGGCTAGTACATTTCACTAAATGTTTTGAGTAACTACAGTTACTGATATTTTGAAATTTTCCCTAAAATTACAACTGGTATGTATATATATGTAGTCTAATGAGGGTTCATCCTCCTGTTTAGGCACAAAAAAAGCAGCTTTTGCTGTCAAGTACTGCCCTTAGAATTAATTTTGAAGCACAAAGTGGTGATAATTTACCTCCATGCAATTTCCATGGCATATTAGCCAAAGATATGAATTTTGAGCCAAAAGTAGGTCACTGTATGGCGGTTAATAAGAACCTAAATGTACAGGTTTTTAGAACCTAAATGTACAGTAACCTGAGACAATAATGAAAGTAGGTAGCTCTTAAAAGGGCTATTGGTGCCAAGCAAAGGGCTCACGCACCCTTGCACACCATCCTAGTCGTCTCTTCCTACATTGTAGTATTTTACAGAAACAAAATATTGTTCTGCTATTCAATAGGATTTGAACCCACACTTAAACAATAAACGTCAATTATGCCTTAAACATGTTATAATTGTTATTTCTCAAAAAAATGTTTTTGGTATTTTGCCACAGTTTAAAAAAAAAAATTACACATTTGCTATATGCATGAACAATCTTTTGCTTATTTTGCTCTATTCACATTTGGTATTATACAGTGAATTAGTATTTTGTTTGGAAAATATAGCTTTCTTTACATTTTGCTACCTTAACGATACATTACTGCATGTTTAACGCTACTTCCTCAGTTGTTAGATATCTACTATGCTCTTATTCAAAACATTATTAAACACATGCATGACATGTCTAAAGAATAGGAAAAATACAGATTTCTAAGACCTTGAATGTATCTTTAAGGAAATATACCAATCATATTTCTTTAATACAGGCATGTTGGAACTATTTTTTTTTTGAATTTCAAACAAAAAATTTGTAAGCAGCAGACGGCAGATATATAGCTTTATACACTTTTAAGATATTTAGCATGATAAGGGTCTTAGTGACTTACCTATGTCAACAGGACATTATAGAATCTGATAAGACCCTAGGTATTGGTTTATACATATTTATTTAAGCTCCTTTGCGAAACACATTATTGCAGCTTATATCAATCACTTTCAAGTCTGCTTCTTGGAACCAACCAGTACTGGTGCCATATGAAACATGTTTGTGACCTGTTCAGGGCTCGAACCCATGATCACTGGGTTGAGCGGCAGACACCGTACCCATTAGGCCACCGCTACCTAAGTATTGATTTTTGTCTTTGGCTACAAAGGAAGTTTTAAACCAGTATCTTTTTTTTCACAAGTTTTTGCCTTTATACAAAAGAAAACAATATTTAATTGACTGATCATTTTTAGATGAGTAAATCGTATCTAAAATGTGTAGGTGAAGGATGCAATGCAGTATGTGTTTGGTTACACAGTAGCAAATGATGTCAGTGCCAGAGATTGGCAGTTAACTCCAGGAAAAAATGGTGGTCAGTGGGTCATTGGCAAGGCAATGGATGAGTTTTGTCCCCTTGGTCCATCCATCGTCACACCAGATGAGTTAGGAGGTATGTTGATTAAAAGTGCTGTATAAGTAATAGATAGAGCATTGAAACACAAGGCTATCTGATTTGTACGAGGGGTGCATAGCCACTGAGTATAAATCAGATTGACAAGTGTTTTGATTCTTTCTCTTTTGTAATAAAGGCAAATATAAAAAAACACATTCCCTGTTGTCACAATATGAAACCCCAGAAAAAAGTAACCAATGAACGAGCATCTGAATATGATATTTCTGTCCCTTTCCTTTTCTCAGCCGTCATAATAAGTAAACTCCAGAAAAAATGAGCCAATCAAAGGGTATGCTTTGGAGTGCGGTAATTAATACCTGCACTCCAGTTAACACACTGTGCGTGTTAATGTATACGATTTAACTTTTGACACATTTTCTAAAGAAAGGTCATAGAGAACTAAATTTTTCCCACATGCATTAAATTTATTAATTTGAATTTGTAAAAAAATTACCAGAAGGTGTTCCATAACTACTTTATTTAAAATGTTATGTACTTGATTTTATTGAGTATGTTCATTAACTGTAGCGTTGAATGAATGCTACATATCTCTTCCATGTCCTCCCCAAAGTGTTCAACAGTCAAATGTTGTAGAACATTTCAAAATGGTAAATTGTACTAAAAACATGCAGTTCCTTTTAAGTTTAGAATAATATACAGGTTGTTTCATGATAACAGTTGCTTCCTTAAGGCAATTTTAGACTTTAAGTTGTTTTATTCACTTATTTTATGTTTTTATGGCAGTTTTTCATTCAAACAATTCTAAAGATATGCCAAATTACAATGCCTTTTCTGATACATGTAGATCTTCAAAATTTAGAAGTTTTATGTTACTTGTTATTAAATATTTTTTTTACATGTTTACATTTATATTTAAATTAAATATTTACATTTAAGTAATTTTGTGTAAAAGTGATAGTTTTTGGAATTACATTATTTTGGTTTCTTGGCACTAATTTGCATTCAGGCATAATTTTATATACTTATATATTGTTCAGAGTTTGCAGCTCTGTCATTCATTTATGCAACTTGGTGCTTTTTATTCAATTAAACAACTCTTATGTGCTAAATTGATCTTCTGTTAGAACTATGGTAGCTTTTTAAAAGTTTAGTTGAGCTAATTTTTCATTTTTAGATCCACATAACCTTGGCTTAAGGTGTAGGGTGAATGGTGTCACAAAACAGGACAGTAACACAAATCAGTTAGTGCACAAAACAGAACAGATGATAGCATTTATAACAAGGTACATTCCTATATTTATGTGATAACAGAATAATGATAGCATTTATAACAAGGTACATTCCTATATTTATGTGATAAACACACTGTTATATTTATGTGATGAATAAATTCCTTTATTTGAATAATGAACAAATTCCTATACTTATGTGGTGAACATATTTCTTTACTTATGTGATGAACATATTTCTTTATTTATGTGATAAACAAATTTCAATATTTATGTGATGGATAAATTTCTTTACTGGTATTTATGTGATGAACAAATTTCTATTCTTAAATGATGAATAAATTTCTATATTTATGTAATAAACAAATTTCTTTATTTATGTGATTTACAAATTTCAATATTTATGTGATTTACAAATTTCTATATTTATGTGATGAACAAATTTCCATATTTATGTGATGACCAAATTTCTTATATTTATAATTTATAAAGTTATTATTTTGACAATATTTTTATACCTTTCCTTTTTTGTGCAGCCTTTAATGTTTTTGTAACCTGTTTCTCTTTATTTTGTAGGTTTATGACTTTGAAACCTGGAGATCTCATTTTGACTGGAACGCCACCTGGTGTAGGCTGCTTTAGAAAACCACCAGAGTATCTCAAGGTACCTTTCACTTTAATCTTTTAAAGCACTGTTTTGTTAAAATAATATCATAGCCTTAGGACTGTTTGGAAAGTTCATATGCTATCAGTATAAATTATTTGGGCATTGGGTTTAATGTTGCACCAACACATTATAGGTCACAAGGCTACTTTCTAGCTTCACTGGTTGAGGAAGACATCAAATGCCTCCAAGTGCAGTATTTCAAGCATGAGCGGAGACCTGAGTAGAACCAACAACGTTCCATAAGCTAGTTGGACTGCTTCTTCATTTCCATATAAAGACTGGCCACACATATTAGGCAATTAGGTTTAAAACAAACATTAAGGAAAATTACATATGGACTCTTTATTAGTAACACCAAAATATTACTATAATCCAATGCATATCTTGAGTATTTAACTATGGAAAGCCATGGCTGTCTGATATTGTTCTTTTTCAATTTATGTAACCATTTGGATAATATATGAGTTCACTTCGACTATATATGAATTGAAAACACCTTCTTATTTAACCGGAATCCATTGTATTAATCCACAGCTACAATATATGAAACCATACCGTCAGTGTATGAAACCGAGTTAGCAATATATAAGTTGATATCTCAATATATGATTCCAATTCTTCAATATATGGTACCAAAGTAGCCATGTATGGAACCAGATGTCCTTATATGAAACCGAATTATCAATATATTAATTCATTTTTACAATATATGAAACCAATTTATCAATGTATGGAACCAAAGTAGCAATATATGAGTTGGTTATTACATTATATGATACCAATTCTTCAATATATGGTACCAAAATAGCCATATATGGAACCAGATGTCCGTATATGAAACCGAATTATCAATATATTTATTCATTTTTACAATATATGAAACCAATTTATCAATGTATGGAATCAAAGTAGCAATATATGAGTTGGTTATTACATTATATGATACCAATTCTTCAATATATGGTACCAAAATAGCCATATATGGAACCAGATGTCCTTATATGAAACCGAATTATCAATATATTAATTCATTTTTACAATATATGAAACCAATTTATCAATGTATGGAACCAAAGTAGCAATATATGAGCAATATACCAATTCTTCAATATATGGAACCAAAATAGCCATATATGGAACCAGATGTCCTTATATGAAACCGAATTATCAATATATTAATTCATTTTTACAATATATGAAACCAATTTATCAATGTATGATACCAAAGTAGCAATATATGAGTTGGTTATTACATTATATGATACCAATTCTTCAATATATGGTACCAAAATAGCCATATATGGAACCAGATGTCCTTATATGAAACCGAATTATCAATATATTAATTCATTTTTACAATAATATTATATGAAACCAATTTATCAATGTATGGAACCAAAGTAGCAATATATGAGTTGGTTATTACATTATATGATACCAATTCTTCAATATATGTTACCAAAATAGCCATACATTTGTATATGGAACCAGATGTCCTTATATGAAACCGAATTATCAATATATTAATTCATTTTTACAATATATGAAACCAATTTATCAATGTATGGAACCAAAGTAGCAATATATGAGTTGGTTATTACATTATATGATACCAATTCTTCTATATATGGAACCAAAATAGCCATATATGGAACCAGATGTCCTTATATGAAACCGAATTATCAATATATTAATTCATTTTTACAATATATGAAACCAATTTATCAATGTATGATACCAAAGTAGCAATATATGAGTTGGTTATTACATTATATGATACCAATTCTTCAATATATGGTACCAAAATAGCCATATATGGAACCAGATGTCCTTATATGAAACCGAATTATCAATATATTAATTCATTTTTACAATATATGAAACCAATTTATCAATGTATGGAACCAAAGTAGCAATATATGAGTTGGTTATTACATTATATGATACCAATTCTTCTATATATGGAACCAAAATAGCCATATATGGAACCAGATGTCCTTATATGAAACCGAATTATCAATATATTAATTCATTTTTACAATATATGAAACCAATTTATCAATGTATGATACCAAAGTAGCAATATATGAGTTGGTTATTACATTATATGATACCAATTCTTCAATATATGGTACCAAAATAGCCATATATGGAACCAGATGTCCTTATATGAAACCGAATTATCAATATATTAATTCATTTTTACAATATATGAAACCAATTTATCAATGTATGGAACCAAAGTAGCAATATATGAGTTGGTTATTACATTATATGATACCAATTCTTCAATATATGGTACCAAAATAGCCATACATTTGTATATGGAACCAGATGTCCTTATATGAAACCGAATTATCAATATATTAATTCATTTTTACAATATATGAAACCAATTTATCAATGTATGGAACCAAAGTAGCAATATTTGAGTTGGTTATTACATTATATGATACCAATTCTTCAATATATGGTACCAAAATAGCCATATATGGAACCAGATGTCCTTATATGGAACCGAATTATCAATATATTAAGTCATTTTTACAATATATGAAACCATTTTATTAATGTATGGAACCAAAGTAGCAGCTAGTATATAAGTTGATTTTACATTCTATGATAGCAATTTTCATTATATGGAACCAAAATAGCCTATTTTCAAGTCAACAATTTAAAGGCCGAGGTCACTGGGTTCTGTTATTACAATGCATACACTTTTTCATGAAATCAATTATTATTTGACTGATTATTTTTAAACTTTGTGAGTAGATTAACTTTGATGTGTTCTGGCCTTGCCTATTTTTGATCAAAGGTAAAGGTCGAGATGAACTTATTTTTTAAATATGTTTTTGTTAATGGTCAGTACGACTCAATAGCTTAAATTATGACATACAACTCCTACATAATTATATAACGATAAGTTTTGCCTGCCCAGCCCATTTTAAGTGAATGTGACGTTAAATTCAAATATTTCCTTATTCAGAAAATGTGCAGTATGCAGTCAGTGAAGCACGCTGTTCTTTAAACAAGGAATATTGGCGCGAAACTGTAATACCGGTGCAAGGATAGAATATAGCCTTTAAAAAAAGTCCCGTCAATATAATGACATTTTGGTTCAATATATTGCTACTTTGGTATCATATATTGAAGAACTGGTATCATATAATGCGAAAATCAACTTATATATTGCTACTTTGGTTACATATATTGATAAACTGGTTTCATATATTGTAAAATTGATTTAATATATTAATAATTCGGTTTCATATAAGGGCATCTGGTTCCATACATGACTTACTTTGGTTCCATATATTGAATAATTGGTATCATATATTGTAATAACCAACTCATATATTGATACTTTGGTTCCATACATTGATAAAATGGTTTCATATACTGTAAAAATGAATTAATATATTGATAATTTGGTTTCATATAAGGACACCTGGTTCCATACATTGTTACTTTGGTTCCATATATTGAATTATTGGTATCATATATTGTAATAACCAAATCATATATTGCTACTTTGGTTCCATACATTGATCAAATGGTTTCATATATTGTAAAAATGAATAAATATATTGATAATTTGGTTTCATATAAGGACACCTGGTTCCATACATTGTTACTTTGGTTCCATATATTAAATTATTGGTATCATATATTGTAATAACCAACTTATATATTGCTACTTTGGTTCCATACATTGATAAAATGGTATCATATATTGTAAAAATGAATTAATATATTGATAATTTGGTTTCATATAAGGACACCTGGTTCCATACATTGCTACTTTGGTTCCATATATTGAATAATTGGTATAACCAAATCATATATTGCTACTTTGGTTCCATACATTGATCAAATGGTTTCATATATTGTAAAAATGAATAAATATATTGATAATTTGGTTTCATATAAGGACACCTGGTTCCATACATTGTTACTTTGGTTCCATATATTAAATTATTGGTATCATATATTGTAATAACCAACTTATATATTGCTACTTTGGTTCCATACATTGATAAAATGGTATCATATATTGTAAAAATGAATTAATATATTGATAATTTGGTTTCATATAAGGACACCTGGTTCCATACATTGCTACTTTGGTTCCATATATTGAATAATTGGTATAACCAACTCATATATTGCTACTTTGGTTCCAAACATTGATAAAATGGTTTCATATATTGAAAAATGAATTAATATATTGATAATTCGGTTTCATATAAGGACATCTGGTTCCATACATGGCTACTTTGGTAACATATATTGAAGAATTGGAATCATATATTGAGAAAATCAACTTATATATTGCTAACTCGGTTTCATACACTGACAGTATGGTTTCATATATTGTTACTGTGGATTAATATAATGGATTCCGGTTAAATAAGAAGGTGTTTTCAATTCATATATAGTCGAAGTGAACTCATATATTATCCAAATGGTTACATAAATTGAAAAAGAACAATATCAGACAGCCATGGCTTTCCATATTTAACCCTATGGCATTTAGCTATGTATCAGAACAAATTTCAAATACATGTAGTCATAATTGTATAAACTTAACCTGTAAACATCTGCCTGTAGACAACTTGACCTGTAAACATCTGTATACGGACAACTTAAACTGTAAACATCTAAACTGTAAACATCTTAAACTGTTAACTTCTGTCTGTACACAACTTAAACTAAACTTCTGTCTGTAGACAACTTACACTGTAAACATCTGTCTTTAGACAACTAAAACTGTAAACATCTGTTGATACACAAATTAAACTGTTAACATCTGTCGATACGCAACTTAAACTGTAAACATCTGTCTGTAGACAACTTAAACTGTAAACATCTGTTGATACACAAATTAAACTGTTAATATCTGTCGATACACAACTTAAACTGTCAACATCTGTCTGTAGACAACTTACACCATAATCATCCGTCTGTAGACAACTTAAAAATTCGTCGTTCAAACATAGCAGCACAAGATCGTTTTTTACAAGAATTTCAGTTGAACATATTCATATACCAGTATGATCTTGATTCAGACATTGAATTTCAAGGTCAAAGTTTTAAAATTCACAAAATTTAACTTTTTATTTACTTTCAATTCAAGACGCATTTGTAATTCACAAGTCATTTTGTCTTATTAATTTTAACTGATATTTGAAGCTCAATTTCATTTTTAAAACAAAAAGCAATGTAATTTTCATTAAACTAGTTTTTTGTTTTTTTGTATAATTTCAGAGAGGAGATGTAGTGGAAGTTGAGATAGATGGAATTGGAACAGTTGTCACAAAGATTGTATAATAACTGTGAAAAATCCAAAATCATTGTTCAATATATGTCCTTTTAAATGTCATTTGAAATGTTAAACAGTGCTTGAAATGCATTGACTTATTTTCTTTATCAGTATTATGGTCAAGAATTGGTTGTGAACAGTTGTAGTTTATTACAGCTTTTATAAATAGATACAATACACAGGTGCTGGTCACTTATTTATTCAGGGATAATTGATAAATGTTAATGAACTGATTAAATTTATGAAAAAGAAACCAGTTGTTTAGTTGCTTATTTAATTCATTTTTGTACTGACATTATTAGAATAGAGAAAACAGAATCCTTAAAGAAAGCCCGAAACGACAAAATTATAAATGTTACAGGCTTGATTTGATTGAGTTTGATCATGGCTGGTATTGGAATGTGCAAGGTAATGTCCACCCCCCTCCTAGCACTGGTTTAAGCAGAATTCAACATTAAAACACAAAAATGGTGACATTTTGAATTTAGAAACATCTAAAAAAAAATCAGAAGTGTTGTGTTATGTAATTCTTTTAAACTGTAATAAGTCAGAAGAAGAAACACAGCCTCAACGTGGTGAACAAGCCTTTCTTTATTGGTCAAAAATTTGTATTGTCATTCAAGTTATTATGAAAATTGATGTAATGGAGAAAGTTGAAAGATTGTTTCTATTAAAACTGTTTTAAAGAAAAGATCCACCATTTCAGAGACCGGTGCATACAGCATTTTGATAGCATTGAACATATTTTGTTTGTGACAAAATCTCACTGGTAATTTTATTTGAGGGTTAGTGCACTTTGTTCCGTGCATTAACATCTGCAAAACTAGAGATCACAGGGCAAGGGAATAAATAAGTCCGAGCCGCTTCTGCAGATTTATGAAAAAAGGTGCATTAACAATATTCCTGCATAAAATAACGTCCAAATCGGTAATTCTATGTTACGTGACTTGTATTTCGTATAAAGAAACAATTGCTTAAGCCATTCTTGCGATGTCATTTGACAGTTATGTTTTGGCAATAAAACTACCGGGACCGATATTGTATTAAGTTGTATTTCCATTGCACCCCGAGTTGCACATATATGTGCACAGGACACTGGTGACCCCACACTTCACTGGTGTTTTTTTTCCAATCTACTGATTCTAGGTCAAATTATTTTGGGCGACACGTGACACAAGTTGAAAACTGACAATCTTTTATTAAGTCAATGACAAAAATTCTACAAATACTGAATAAATCCACAAGCAAACCCCAAGGTGCAATATTTTCAAATATTTAAAAAATCCACACATCCAAGTGCACACCTACACATGCTAATCAACATTCCTGTAAGGTTTCATGACTATAGGTCAAATATCTTTTGAACTACGTCCAACAACACAAAGTGATAATTGTAAATATTCAAGGGCCAAAACGCTGACAAAACGGAATCAATTCACAAGCGAAACCCCAGGTGCACAACTTCACACACTCAGCAACATTCCTGTAAAGTAACATGACTCTGGGTCAAATACTTTTTGAGCTTCGTGCAACACAAGTTGAAAATTGTAAATTTCACTAAGTCAAGGGTCATAACTTTACAAATACTGAATAAATCCACACATGCAAACACCGTTCTCTTCTCAGTTAATGTATACCTTCCACTTAGAGATCGATCGTAAAAATATGTCGCAAATTATACAGCAAGCAATTATTTGAAAATTGCAATAATTATTATAAATGCATGTATGCAATATAATGTAAAGATTTATTTAGCATTTATGGTTTATTCCATCCAAATTCTCCGTCTTTGAATGTCGACAAAACCATTTTTAAGGGCAAATTTCAAAATTAATAATGACTGAAAATGCATGATCAGACGGTCTTAATCTGGATCAATTTACTAGCATGAGCACTATTGCTGGTGAAATACATTTATACTTTGATAAGTTACTTCATGAAATCAACAAAATTTACTTGTTCTTTGCAATGAAACAAACGTTACGGGGTTTTGAAATAAAGTAAGTGTTCTTCAAGGTTTTTGATAGTTATACCAGATTTAACTAACAAAAATAGAGGGAAACTGTCTTCAGGGATGAGATTGGTTTCATAAAGTGACAACTATGTTCAGTTCTAAGATGTTTCTTTCTCTTCTTTCTAAGTTTAATGTAATAAAATGATTTGTTTACGATTATCCAAAGTTAAGGTGCAACGGAGGGGCAACAACCATAAAACAATGAGATTACACTCTCTTGAAATATTGTAATGTTAATGTATTCATCTACCTTGTCAACCTTCATGATTGTGCAGTCAAGGGTTTGATATGCAGATAGCTTGTAGCTATGACCTAGATAATGTATCAACTATACAAACATTACAAAGTTGCTATGATATTTCTTCATATACCAAGTTTATATCAAAATTTTAAACACACCTCATTGATTTGATAGTATTAAATCTCATTCACTGTGAGCATTATAACAGACGATACAATTTTAATTATACAAATCATGCGATTAGTGCAGTTCAATCAACATGGACAACAGTGTTTTGGACTGAATCTCTGAAAAGGGAGTTTTAATAAATTTTAAAAAAGCAGACAATCTATCCCACGTGTTGAAAACATTTCCAAAGCGGAAGGAACATGGAACAAAGCTAAATTTGATTATCTGAAAAAAATATACTATACAAGCAACATTTGGCATAATACGTTATTTGATGCATATTTTTACAATTGCAAAAGTTTAGAAATTGGTTTAAAGTGTTTTAGTTCATGCTCAAATTCAAGTACTATGTGCGCGTGAACAAGCTTCGCCTCCAGTGGCTTATAATCCAGCTATGACATCACTTATTTCATACAGATCTTGTGACGCAGAAAACGCGTCTGGACATTTCAAATGAAGTATCTTTACACTTAATCATAAATGAATAACTCGTTGTCAAAATTCTGTTATAAATCAAGAATGCTATAAATGATTCAAATGTAGGTAGGAGTATGAGAGTTAGCTAGATCATCTTCATCATTGTTATCATTATTTTCATTGGTTGCGGCGTCTGACGTAAGCAACAACTGCAGTTAGTGGTAATAAAGTATTGTCCTATATAAACCCATATCTTAATCTTTACAGAAAATAGGCCTGCATTATCTGTGTTTTCAATTAAGAGTTACGACCCTTGATTGACCTTGCAATAAACATGTCTATGACACTATTTTGAAGGTGTAATTTTTCTACTGTATTGATCAAACTAAGACAAGGAAACAGTCTACAGTAAAAGCTATACAGACGCAGAAACATATTTGATGGCTTTTATTTCATGCAATCAGACGACACAAAAGATCACGTCATTGTTTCCTAGAATAAAATTGACTTTTCAGTGCTTCAAACAGAAAAAGACTGCTTGGTAAAGAGAAACTGTGTAAAGATTCTTGCCCCTATAACGTCATGCAGAAGTGTTATGTATTGGCATGAACTATACGGACCATTGTAAAGAACAAAATGCTGATATACCAGCAGAACCTGTGGTGTTCAACAAGTTTCCAAGTTGTATTATTGGACCAGATGATTCATTGAGCTACCCAGAAGAGGCCAAAGGTATTGCGTATATTGCTGCTAACATGAGATACTTAACGGAATAGCAGACTGTGCAAATGCCACAGTTACGTTTTATATATATAATTACTCTATTCACTATTCAAGTTGTCTTACATTAATGAATAGATATACTGGTTCTAAATTTAAGCTAATGCTTTTACAATTTAATGCAGCTTGTGCACCTTTCCTTTATCTCTACACATATCTACAGATAACTTTCCAATAGCATGTGTTTAATGGATAATGTACGACTTTACTTTTCAGCTCTAAGTATGTCTGTCTTATACTATGAATCACCTACAAGTTACTTTTGCATTCAAGAATATCTGTAAAATGAATATGTATGATTATTCTTTCAGGTTTTAGATAGTTTATCCGGGTAATGTAAGACTTCCAACTTTCTTTTTTTCAGCTTCTAGACTGGGAAGCAGAGCTGGTCATTGTTATCGGGAAAACAGCAAAACATGTCAAGGTTTTCTTTGCATTCAGGATATAGAATATTTGTTCCCATTTTTTATATTGCAACTCATAGTAATTGGCATATAAGTTTGTTTCAATTCCTGTTAGTTTGAAATTTCAGATACGGTATTTCAGCAACTTTTTTGCAAAGTCTGAAAATCCTTTTAAAACGCCAAAGCTAATAAATTGTTCATTCTTTGGTTCAATAGTTGCAGAAATCACACGAAGTGGTTCTACTTGCCAATAGCTACTTGATTGATGTTCATCCGAATCCTGTATACAATGTAATTGTTTACATTATATTGTTATATATTTGATTCCATTTTATGTCAACTTTAGTTAGAGAACGCCATGCAATACGTGTTTGGCTTTACTGCAGCGAATGACGTTTGCGCTCGTGACTGGGTATGGAAAAATGCCGGCCAGGTGGTTCTTAGTTCAGCTATGGACCAGACATGTCCTCTCGGACCATCAATAGTCACTGTTGATGAAATAAAAGGTAAATGTGTTTAAGTATGCACTCGTCAATGATTTTAAAATTTTCAACCGAATGATAGAATGATAAAGTATGTTATTAGAAAATGTAGAAAGTAAATCTAAACTTATTCTAAAGGTAATGTAATTAAATAGATATATGTAATACCTAATTTGTCCTTTGATAAATATAAAACTTGACGTTCAGGTAATTTCCCCACAGACCAACGTTGTGATTTATATTTTAAATATTTCAGATCCTCATCACCTTGGTATAAAGTGTATTGTAAATGGTGTTGTAAAACAAAACAGTAACACTTGTGAAATGTTGTATCAAACCGAAAAAATAGTTGCCCATATAACGAGGTAATACATTGCTGTACTGAAACAATTCGTTGATATCACTAGATCCACACAATTTATTTTTAAAATATCCGATCTCTATAAAGGTAAAACGACTTGTTTTGACTGTCCATTGATAAGAATGTTTGTCAAAACGATAAAGATAATTATGCTGATTTGCAATGATATAAACTCATTTCAAATTTTAAGTACAGTGTGGATCTTTTAAAACAGTTATGAAATAATTCACAAAGTTCTTCTTCTTAATTTTTGTGTAATGTTTGGCAAATTATTTAAGTGGTTATTCTAAATTACAGATTCATGACACTGAAACCGGGGGATCTTATTTTGTCAGGATCGCCCCCGGGAGTTGGGCATTGTATGAATCCGCCCGAGTATATAAAGGTAAAAGTTTTAATTAACGACCATTTTGCAATAATTGAAATTTATAAGATTTTATAAATCTGATATTTAGAAAGACAAAATAAAAAATAATTGATGCCTTTATTGACATTGTCACTAAATATAGTCACAGGCACTTCTCAACTTATATTTAAAGTTGTGCATAGTAGGTCTGCTTTAATTTGTCTGAATCACCAGAAACGGTTCACAATTATCAAGCATTTGATTATATGCACGCGTTACACCAACTTATATTGCATGCATTTTACATTTAAAAATTTACTTTATTTTCATTTAACGATCTATGGATAAAGCAGCGAATATAAAAAGTAACTTAATATAAATGGTCTTTTTCTTATTGTATGAATTTGTATCTATCTTGACCAAATGTTTTTATTATATGTATTATACCAGATGATATACTATGTATAAATCTTTTCTCTTCTGTAAAACTGTTTTGTAACAATTAAGATTTTAAAGCTTTATTTGTAATACAAAATGTATTTTGTTTTAAGGTTGGAGATGTAGTTGAAGTTGGAATTGAGAAAATTGGGACAATCAAGACTAAAATCATTTAGATTTAGAAACAAACAAAATGAGAACCACAGGAATACAAAGTTGTGAACAGATGTCAAGAAGGGTTTATCATTTTTACCCATCGATGTCAACAATATAACTTTTTAACACTACAAATTATTCTGTTTACGGAGTAACGACTGCATGAAACTAACTTTGGAAGTCTTCTAGTACGGCAAAATTAATTATGATGCAGGCACGGTTTTATTGTATTGTTGATTAACACCTGTAGAAAATCGTTTAATTAATTCGCAAAAGTTTTATCGCTCATGTCGAGACATAAAACAATGGGAAACCTGCATCAGGTCAATCTCTTTTTTAACATTCAATTATCATTAAATGTATTCATATATTCAACTCATTATTAAACGTAAATCTACATGACAAAGCAGATAGAAGCAATATAAAACACTGAATTTCCCATAGGAATGACATCGTTGTCCATGACAAACATGTTGGATTTTAATTATTCTGATTGAATAAATCTTTATGATAATATCATTATAGCAAAATATTACACCGTATTCATAATTGCAAATACATTTATTTATTTTCTAATGGGTAAATTGTGCAAAGAGACAACCATAATCATAATCATCACACACTGTGAAAAACAATATCCACTTACCGGAATCGTATAAATTATAATGTAAAATTAAATATTGATATTTTATATTCAATTTGTCAGAATTATGGACCCTCATTTTATTTTGGTATAAGTATTATTCACCAATCAACTGTTTACTTATGAGTATTCACATCACGTTGGCTTATACGGCCAACTACATTTAATTGTTTCGTGCGTCATGCCTAAAAATCGGAAAGTTACGGTGTCCGTTTGGACACGTTTGGACAATCGTGACATTTTATTTATTCTGTGCCCGCGATGCACGATGGTACGATGGTGAAAACGCGATGGCACGATGGTACGATGGTGAAAACACGATGGTACGATGGTGAAATCACGATGGTACGATGGTGAAATCGCGATGGCGCGATAGTACGATGGTGAAAACGCGATGTTACATCGCGTTTTCACCATCGTACCATCGTGATTTCACCATCGTACCATCGCGTTTTCACCATCGTGCCATCGCCTTCCGGTGGACATGCGCATTGTACACCTTTATGAACAATGGATGAATGCATAACTATGTATTATGTGAGAGGCTATACGTATCGAGACATTTTAAATATAGTGAGGCTTAAAACGGGATTTGATCTCAGCACAGACTATTTAATAAGTGTTGTGTATTAAGATTCAATCATTATAAAACCTTTGTGCACTGTGCTTAATTCATCTTGTCTAGGTATTACGGTGTTCCGTTTGGACACGTTTGGACAATCGTGACATTTTATCTATTCTGTACCCGCGATGCACGATGGTACGATGGTGAAAACGCGATGGCACGATGGTACGATGGTGAAAACACGATGGTACGATGGTGAAATCACGATGGTACGATGGTGAAATCGCGATGGCGCGATAGTACGATGGTGAAAACGCGATGTTACATCGCGTTTTCACCATCGTACCATCGTGATTTCACCATCGTACCATCGCGTTTTCACCATCGTACCATCGCACCATCGCGCCATCGCGCTTTCACCATCGTACCATCGCGTTTTCACCATCGTGCCATCGCGATTTCACCATCGTACCATCGCGTTTTCACCATCGTGCCATCGCGATTTCACCATCGTACCATCGCGTTATCACCATCGTGCCATCGCCTTCCGGTGGACATGCGCATTGTACATCTTTATCAACAATGGATGAATGCATAAACTTATGTATTATGTGAGAGGCTATACGTATCGAGACATTTTAAATATAGTGAGGCTTAAAACGGATTTGATCTCACTATTAATCACAGACTATTTAACCCCATTACGTTATATACACGCCTTTTAACGCCTTTTCCCCCCCCTTTTTGTTGTCTCAATTGGTGAAAAAAAAAGCCTTACATTTAGGGCCCAAACACTTGTTTTTGTTTGAAGAAATGTTGTTAAAAAAGTGACCTCTTTTTCGCGCGGCCCCCAACCAAAAGATACCTCAGGGGGTTGCCAGAAGGGGGATGTGCCCCCTTCTGTTTAGGGGGTTTGAAGGGGGGCGGATTCCCTCATCGCCAAGAAAATTTTGGACTTGTGAGAGGCTATAATGAACCCCAAGAATTGATCATAAGGTAACGTGTAACCAAACGCTGAAAAGCATTTGACTCTATCTTCAATCCATTGAGAAGTTGCAGCACTTTGAATCATTTTGATGGAAAAAATCAACGGCAAAATAGTGAATTTTGTGGCAATTTGAGATGTCCCTCGTTGCCTGGTAACAGAAAATTTAAGCCTGAGCATGTTGTTGCAGGCAATGGTCCAGTCAACATTGGTTGCCAAGTTTTGATTTTAGTGTTGAACATTTTTTATAGTAATTATAGGCAATTTGAACTTGTAACGGGAGACTTTATATCAATGAATAAGCCATTTTTCACAAAATGCTCATGAAGTAATGGGTTAAAAAGTGTGTGTAATTAAGATTCAATCATTATAAACCTTTATGCACTGTGCTTAATTCTCTTGTTAGGTAAAACAAGATGAATTAAGCACAGTGCATAAAGTTTTAAAATGATTGAATCTTAATACACAAGCACTTATTAAAATAGTCTGTGATTAATAGTGAGATCAAAATCCCGTTTTAAGCCTACTATATTTAAAATGTTCTCGATACGTATATGCCTCTTCACATTAATACATAGATATGCATTCATCCATGTGATTGATAAAGTTGTACAATGCCGCATGGTCCACCGGAAGCGATGGCACGATGGTGATAACGCGATGGTACGATGGTGAAATCGCGTCGATGCACGATGGTGAAAACGCGATGGGCAGCGATGGTGAAAGCGCGATGGTACGATGGGTGAAATCGCGATGGCACGATGGTGAAACTCGATGGTACGATGGTGAAATCGCGATGGCACGATGGTGAAAACGCGATGGTACGATGGTGAAAGCGCGATGGTGCGATGGTACGATGGTGAAAACGCGATGGTACGATGGTGAAATCACGATGGTACGATGGTGAAAACGCGATGTAACATCGCGTTTTCACCCATCGTACTATCGCGCCATCGCGATTTCACCATCGTACCATCGTGATTTCACCTCGTACCATCGTGTTTTCACCATCGTACCATCGTGCCATCCGCGTTTCACCATCGTACCATCGGTGCATGCGCGGGTACACGAATAGATAAATGTCACGGATTGTCCAACGTGTCAACGGAACACGTAAGATATCTATAACACAAATTTTTTTAGGTTTTATATCATAAATATGATGTCTCAAATTAAGATAAGTTCAAAAAGCCATTATTTTGTAAAGATGTTTCGCGAATCTTTACATTTCATGTTAATAAAGGGAGGTAATAAAAATTTATTCTGTAAAGTCCTAAGTCAAATTTTTCAATAAGAAATGAATGCATATATTTTAATGATTACATATAATATGTATAACTATTTGCAGTCATACTTTACATATTCTCCGATGTTTGAAACTTGTTTTTATATTAAGCATTTATACTAAATATATATAATTTCACTGAAGTGTGGTGTTAGCTCACTCACAGGTAACAGCGTTGCGACTGTGAATCGGGCCGATCGGTTTTGGATTCCCCCGACGGTGGCGGTCATTTTCGTTGTGATGAATCATGAAATCCTTTCTACGTGTCATTGAACTGGTCTCTGCTCCTTGCAGAAGTTTTCAGTTCTTTGCGAGGTGAAAGGCAAACTAGTACTGTGGTAAACGCTTGACAGCCCTGCAAGGAAAATGCGATGGTTGAACTGTGGCTCTTTGTTAATTCAATGTGGTTACTTCATGATCGGAAGTGAAAACTATCGCACAACCAACCACGGTGTACACAACCTCAATTACAAATACAAAATCTTTAGAACGTACAAAATTGTCTTTGTATGTGCCTATGGTGCTTTTTTTTCATTATTCTTGCTTGGATATGGAAGAATGAAAATCACAATACGTTCAGGTATTAGAAAGTAAATTATAAAACAAAATGAAAAATAAAAGGAAATAAAGAAATACTGAGCCAGAAAATGATGCTCAAGAGCTCTACATATAGATAAGATAATTCTATTTTCCCGAGACTGATAGAATGTGTATGCCTAAAGTGAGAAATGTTTGCCTTGACATGGTCCGAGTTGGGAATTTAAAGCAAAGAATATTTATATTCTATGGAAATTAATTATACTGGCAAAAATTGTAAATTCGGCGCTTTAATCGACTAGGTTCCAGTGCCAGACCTGGGATTGATCAGTAATTTACCTAATTACAATTACTTTCAGGTTTTAATTGTTTATAGATTAATGATTGAATTCTCAGATTTGCCTTGTAATCAATAAAATAACATAAGACAGAAACAGAAGAAACAGTTATTTTACTTGATTTGTACATATGTGTACATTATTTAAAAAGTAAAAGAACATTAATTCAAGTTAAATATAATATAACACATGAGTATAACATAACAGTGGTGAATATTGTTAATTTTTAACACATGACTGATATTATTTTTAAGCGTTATTTGTAGAGGAAAATAAATAATTTATCATGGAGAAATTGAAAAAAAGAAAAAAAAACAAACAAACAGCTAACCGCCTGAAGATATTCATGATTTCATGAACATTGATCAAAATGTATAAACAATACATTTCAATCTTATATTCAATTAATGATAACAAAGTTTAAAGTCAAGTCACGTTACATTTATCGGTTCCATTCGAGACCCACAATAGGCCCTTGTTTGTCCTTCTGCGTACATCTTCAACGATCAAATGATTTTGGCAAATTAAAAAAGAAATTTGCGTGATATAAAAATAAAATGTATTTTCAGTGTGTGTGTGTTTGGGTTTTGTTTACCCTCGCCAACCGGAAAGAGACCATAGGGCGAGCATATCTTATTTATAATCATATAAAAATGGCGGATTGTGATTTTATTTTACTTGTTATTTTATCCGTACATGTGTTTATGTGCATACCTATATCCATGTCAGGGTAGTCTCTACGTACAACCTCTGCCAGGGGTGAAGTGGGCATCCATACTAAGTTTGAGAAATCTAAAATTTAATAATTAAAGCACTTAATTAAAATGGCCAAGACGTTTATATAGATTACCGTCCTTTTTATAGGCAGGATAATATTTATTTAATATATACTAAAATTTTTAGAAGATTTACCTATAATTGGTAAGAGTTCGCATACTTATGGTGCGAGAAGTCATGTCAAGAACGTTTCTGACCATTTCATTGTGGGCTGACTGTTATTTCTGGTTTGGTTTCTATTCAATGTTATAACCGTATACAATTGGGATGCATATATTAATTACATGTTTGTAATTAGCAGCAGTTTGTTTTAAATTTTTGTAATTTTTGTAAGTTCTACCGAAACACCCGTTATAAAGTTAATTATTGCATTGGTTTAGAGAGGATTGCCTCCTTTGTTCTCATTGGTCTAAAATTTCTTCCTTTTAAATAAGGAGGATCAATCCGATTTTCTTGAAGAAGTTCCTGCAAGTTTTTTTCTGTTACTATTTCGAGACAAGTTTTGTCGCGCGACTGGATAGAATTTTTGCGGGTGCCCGTTGCATTACAATGTATACGAGA